TTTCTATCCCTGGAGGGAGATCAAGGTCTGCAGGTCTCATCTGTGCAGTGACAGTGTTAAATCTCGCCAGGCCTGCAGATGGGCAGTGGCCGTGGCAGTCATGCGACTGGCCTGGAGGAACAGTCCTGTGGCTGCTGTTCATTTCTTGCAGGTCTCCATCAGAATTTGGGGTGTGAAGCTCCCAGAGCAGTGGTGGCCAAGCCTGGCCCTGCCTCTGAGGTGGTACTTGCAGTAATGGGTGTGCAGATGTTTTGGTGCACGTGGCTTGTGCCACACCTGACCCTCCAGAGCTTCCCCCAGGGAGTAACTTCACAGAGCCATACCTGTGTGTTGGAAGGCAGACAGGTCTGTAAGAGCCCTCCAGCATCTCCACAACAGCTTCCATAGCCTGGGTCTCACCCTGCTCTTTTACTGTGGGTTTGGTGTCATGTTTCACACTAATTTCTTTAAAAGCCATGCCAGCATCTGGATTTTCTCGTGGGAGGATCAGGAGGGTCCTGGTGGTCATTTGCTGGTTTAAAAGCCCAGCCCTGGCAGGACTCGAGGCCAGCTCTGTGAGGAAGGAACAGCATGGTGTCAGGGAGACCAGGGCCAGGGCCAGACAGTTTCACTCGATAGAACATGCTTTACTACATCTGCTTTATTTCATGTTTCACTTCCAGCTGCTTTTCTTTTGCTTTTTAACACAGTGAGCTCTTCTGTGAGTTTGCTGTGGATGCTTAACATGCCTGTGATTGCAGGGACACCAATTTCTGAGCTGTGCTTCTGTAGGAAAAGAGACTTGCAGCAGTAATATTGGTGTGTTTATTTTCTACAGGGTTGAGAGAGCCTAGTGTTCTCTTGCTTTCTGGCATCTAGTTATTCCAGCATGTTTTAGTGATATTAAATTGCCAACAATTAGCAATGCAAAGGGGTTGGCCTTTGTGTGTCTGGGAATAATGAGGTGAAGGCATGGATCACCCTCTTTCTGCACAGACACCAAGTGGCACCCTTGCTAACACGCTTCCAGGTAATTACTTCTGTAGGTTGGATCATTTTGGTAGACACTTATGCAATGTATTTGATTTTTAGTCACTGTTTTGCTGTGGAAGGAGCACAGGAAATGTTTACCAGGCAGGCATGCCTAGGTTGCACTCTCATTTATTTTTTCTTATCAGCAAAACATAAACCCAGAGCTTGCTGACAGTGAAACCATATGGTTCCTCTTTTTGACAAATCAATTTTGCAGTACAGATAATCCTGTCTGTACATGAGAAGAGATATTTTGGATTATTTTAATTCTTGCATTACTCTCTGTTTTTCAGTGCCTGGAAATTATGTATGTGTTTATTTCTGAACCCAGAGGTTAGGGTGAATTAAGAGTTTATGGAGGACACTGCACTTTAGTGTCTGTCTTTACTTTGAGGATAGTTATTTGTCATATGCAATAACCTGTTTGTTGAAGCCAGTGCCAGGCAGCAGCTTCAGATTCAGAGATTTTCTGAACACTGGAAACCCTCTCAGTGTGAGGCCAAGCTGAGAATTGCATTTTTATAAAACAGCTTCTGCTCTGCCAAAAGCTGCAGAGATAGCTGCAAAGGTTCTGGGTTGGAAGGAACCTTAAAGCCCATCCAGTGCCACCCCTGCCATGGCAGGGACACCTCCCACTGTCCCAGGCTGCTCCCAGCCCTGTCCAGCCTGGCCTTGGACACTTCCAGGGATCCAGGGGCAGCCACAGCTGCTCTGGGCACCTGTGCCAGGGCCTGCCCACCCTCACAGGGAATTATTTCTTCCCAGTATCCCACCTAAATCTGCCCTGCTTCAGCCATTCCTCCTTGTCCTGTCCCTGCAGGCCCTTGTCCAAAGTCCCTCTCCAGCTGTCTTGAAGCCCCTTTAGGCACCAGAAGGGGCTCTAAGATCTCCCCAGAGTTTTCTCTTCTCCAGACTGAACAATGCCAGTGCTTCCACCCTGTCTCCAGAGCAGAGGGCCTCCAGCTCTCTAATTAGGGGATTTATTCAATTTTTACAGTTTTTAATTTTTGCATTTCTGGGTGCCAGCAGTTATGCAAACCAAGACCTGAACATGACATTTTCCAGATATTTAATAAATCAAAATGTAAATCTGGTCAGCACAAATGTTTGTGTTTTACCAGGGAGCAGTGCAGCTTCAGACACCAGTCTCAGTTGAAAACAAAAATAAAATTGATTATGTTAATAAAAACAATAATAAAATTCTTGATTGTAGTAGATTCAGTCTGATAAACATGCCTGAAGAGTATTCAAAAAAGAAGTCTATCTGGAACATCTGTTTATGTAAGTATAAGGATGGAAGCTTACTTAAACATGATTCTTTGGAGATGTAAGGGTAAAATTAACCTAGCAGAAAAGTGAATGCCATGGCTGACTATGAAAACATTACAGGTAGCTAATAGTGAAGGATGCTAGAGCTTGCAGGAAAGTTTTCCAAACATGTTTTTAGAAGATGATGATTGAAATTAGGGCAAATTTTATGCAGAGAAGCTAAATCTCAGCTTGGATGAAATTCAAAAAAACATTCTGGAAAAACTCCATCTGGACATTTCAATAAATGAAAAGCATTTCAATCAACAAAAAGCAAAAAGCAGTGACACATTTAAGTTTTTTTACTTTAGTGGGATGAAATGGTGTTGAGAAGCTCCTGAAAGAAAAATGGTGTTTCTCCTCTGCACGAGTGCAGGTACATGAAGTTGCTGATGGGCTCTCAGCTCAGCTACAGAAGGTTTTGGATGTGTAGCTCTCATTGAGATGCACCTCTGTGGCTCCAGCCCCAGTTACATTCATATGGGAATGATCCTCTGGGCATGATCCGTGATGCTGTTGCAGCAAAGCATGGAAATAGCCACACTTTGAGGGGATGCTGGCAAGTAGACATTTCTGTAGAGCTCAAGTGGAGCAAAGATATTTTAAAGCCCACAGCTGAGGAATGGTGCTGACAAAGATCACTGCCAGTCAGAGGTTTAAGCACTTGGCAGACACCATCGTGGGCAAGGGTGGGGCAGGGAAGATTCAAAACACCCCAGCAACTGCACAGGAGGGTTCTGGTTTAAATTAAATACATCTTTAAGGATATTGTGGATATTGTGCCATATTATTTGTTCTTTGGAGGACAGTGAGTCCAGGTGTACTGGGCAGTCCAGGTGTACTGAGTGCCTCTACTGAGGCTGATGTGGTGGCCCAGCAGGTGTGCATCCAGTCCAGCTCAGCTCTCATTACTTTTTGCATGTTGTACAGCTCAAAGAGTCGCCAATGTGAACTCTTAAAAATGTGGTCTGATCTCAAAAAACAGCCTTGAAATTGTAAAAAAATCAACCAAACAAAAAAACCCCAAACATCTATATATAAAATCCTTACTATGTTGCAGTTTAGGACAATGGTTACTCATGGTAAGCCACAGAGTGATTCAGATAAAAAGCCCAAACTTGTAACACTCACCTGGAGTGAGGAGGAAAATTGTCCAGTACATCCTGTGTGTTCCAGGGATGTGGGTGGGAGGGACAAGAGGTGAGGAGAAACCATTTGTATCGAAAATATTTGCTCTCATTGAGGCCAATAGCTGCCATAGTAAGTGGCTGAATGAAGTGGCAAAACAAACAGAAATAATCTGCATGGAATTAAAGAGCTATGGTTTTAAAAGCTAGTGTTTGGTGCATATTTACTCAAGAGATTAGCCCAGTAATTGTCCCTGGGACTTCTGTTTGGTCTTTTGCTGAGATTCCTTCGTGTTTGTTTTCCAGGGACAGGGAGTTCAGGAGCACGGATTTGAGACAGGTGGGACACCTGCCTGCTGTGTGTGATCTGGGGACTTAACAACAATTAATGACATGGGGGCAGTTTTAGCATTAAAAATAAAATAGATTTGCTAACAACATGTGGTTCTGTCAGGATGTTCTCATGGAGGCTGTAATTTCTTTTTGCCTCTAGATGTGGAAAATACATTTTCCCTCTTAATATTTTTGTGTGTGTCATCATAGTGCTTGCAGCACTGTGCCTCTGAGTTTTCTCAAGTCATTTGGAAATCCAGTGAAAAACAGGGAACTTGGGCTCTGATGCAGAAGCAGTGCTGGTTTTTGTAAAAGTTAAAAAACCCCCAAGTTTCTAGAATTTGTCAATGCACATGTACAGACCCAGAAAAAGTATTTGTTACCTTTGAAATTATCTAGATGTTATATGTTGTCTTAATGACCTGACATTGAAAGTTTTGTTTAAAATGACTGTAAACAAGGAATGTTGTGACAACAGAAATTACTGTATGAAGTTAGTGGCTGACATTAGGTGGCCAAAGGGAGAACAGCTCCACAGCTCAAGGAGCAGCTATATAAACAGCAAAGTTATAGAAAAGTGGAATGAAGAAAAATGTATTAAAAATTAATGATTTACTGTAAAGCTGAGTTTGTCACTTGAAAAAGGAGATAATATATATGTGTATGCCTTTCTATGCCACTTTCTGTGGGTTTTTTTTCCCTTGGCCCCTTTCAGCCAAGCCAAACAGAGGTGCAGTGCTTGTAAAGATAAGAGGTTTTGGTCAGATCATGCCAAGGTGCTACCAAGGAGGCTGAACTGCACGATCAGGCCAGTAGATCTTGGAAATTTGCACAGGGGAAGACGTGTAATGAATACTCCCAGCCATCCTGAGTATTAAATTAATCAGAATCCAATAACACAGGGAACTGTAGGGTACTGTGCCACTCAAAAATGGCTTTTTTAAATTGTTTTTAGTGTTTTAGTGTTCACCATGTACCAGCCTGAGCAGATAATGTCACAACATGAGTTGCTTTGTGCTGGGGGTGAGGGCAGAGGAGCTGTTGAATGGCACTGATGGAGAGTGGCCGTGGGCTGGTGCTTGGCAGAGTGTTGGCCACCCCGAGGTCTGGGATTTGTTCTGCCCATTAACTGTGACTGATTTACAGTCTGCAGTGGATAAAACCTCAGTGGACCTTCAGTGTTGGCGGCGGGGCTGCATTGTGTCTGTGCTTGCTCTGCAGGGCAGTGCAGCCGCCTCCTCCCGCCCCAGCTGGGCTCTCTGCAGCTCCTTCATGGCAATGGCACCGATGTGGGATCAGTGCTCGTGTTCCAGTGCCCTGCTGAGCACCAGCTGGAGGGACCAGGCATCGTCTCCTGCGTTTGGAAAGGGAACAGCACGCAGTGGACAGCCGGAGTGCCCTCCTGCAAGCGTAAGGTTCTTCCCAAAGCCTGCCCCTCCCTTGCCCTGCCTCTCCTGCAACGTTAGGACTCGTTCTAGATAACTGAAAAAAGAAAAAGACAAATTCAGTTTTCTTCAAAGTTGCCCCACTGATGGTAATTGCACTCCATATGTGTTCTGACATGCCATAGTCACGAGGCAGAAAAGACTCTGTTGGATTCATCCCTGATCTCATGTCCAGGTAGAACCTGGAATAACTGGCTCTAGCTAAAAGCTGTATGCTGCTTTAGAGAATGTATGGGTGTCTCAGTTTAGAGACAAGTTTAGGAGAAAAACACTCTGGAATGAGTGTTCTAAAAAACAGGTTCCAACAAGCCCTTTCCACCAATAAGAAATGAATACTATGAATTCATTCATATGAAATGAAAGTGAAAAAAACCCAATCATTTCTTGACAAACAGATTGCCCACACAGCACGGGAAAAAAGGTAAATAGGTGCTGGACATTGCACTGTCAGGTTTCAACACCACCACCACCCCCTCTCCTGGAAAAAATACCAACCCCAAAATGCCAGGGGAAGATAAAGCCCACAACTGCCAGCAGCCAGGTGGGGAGAAGGATGAAACCAGCTCCTGTCTCAGGGAGAAAAACAAGTTTCATGCAGCAGCTCAGGCAAACAGGTGGGAAGCCAGTGACTCTCTGGGGTCAGTCCCCTGTCCACAGCCACAGCAGGTGGAGCAGGTGTGCTTTCCCTCTCTGGGTCAGGCTTTTTCTGAGGTCTGGGGCTGAAACAGAGCAGCCCCTCTCTCCCACCAGGGCCGATTCTTCTCCTGCAGCTTGTTCCCTCTGATCTTGGACCAAAACCAAACCCTCCAGCTCACCTCGAAAAGCCACCAAAGGATTGGTGCTGCAGCCTCTCCAAGCCCAGGGAAAGGAAAAAATAAACCAACCAATTTCTGCCTGGGCTAACAAAAAAACCCCAAGCTAGCCAAGCAAAACGCAGACTGCACCACTTCCCTGGACTGCTGGGGCAGTGAGGCTTTGAAAAAGCCCAGCAAAGGCTCCTCCCCAGACCCACCTTAGAGATACAGCAACCATTCTGGGGCATAAAGCAGGGGATCAGGGAATAGAACATCATCATAAATCACCCCAGCACTATGAGAATGACCAACTGATGTGCAAGCATATTTGTGAACATCTCATCTCCTGGCAGTCTTTTCTAACAATGACAATGTTTTTGATGTAAAAGAAACACAGCGAGACTTTTTGAACAATTCTTGGTTGTTGTCTGTGGGCAGCTGCATGGGGAAGTTACATATAGAGAAATAGTGTTGGAATGGCAACAGCATTAACTACCTTTTAGCTGTGTTCCTTCTTGTTTGTTATAAGGTTGTTAGTAATTTAACCAGAAGTAGACCCAAGCAAAACTCGGTGCCCCTGAGCTTTGAGGAGCCTCAGACCTTGTGTCATCCTGATTCCCCAGTGGATACAGTGCTCTTACACTTAGTGCTCTCTCACACACTCAGCTATTCTTACCTCTTGTTTGGAGATGCCATAGAAGAAAAAATGAGAGAAATCCCTCCCCCAGAGGCTGCAGAAATATACTGCTTTGTGTGGAGCTCAGCTGAACCATTTATGATGCTGGTCATTGTGACATTGGGAGAACTAGATGAGTTTTGAAGCAAGACACACTTACTGCTCCAAGTGAGTTGGCAGAGATCTGTGTTAGCTGTGCCACACCACATTCCCACTCCTCCTTTTGTCTGGATAGCTCACTTCCAGCATCAGATCCCTGCAAACACTCAGCCCTGCAGGCCACTTCTTCCATCCTGCATCCTTCCCCAAACAGAGGAAGACCTGTTGTTTGCTGCCTGCCAAAGAGGATGTAGTTACATGGAACTGTCCTTGCTCTAAATGGCTTCTTTAGGTCCATGTACCACTGTTAGTATTTGTTTTTGTAGCTTCAGTCCCTGTTAATGACGAGTCTGCAGCTCATCTGCATTCGATCTGCCAACAGAGTTGTGCTTTTTAGCCACTGCAGTGCTAAGAGCACTGTGTTTAATTAATTGCAGTGGTGAAATGCTTGTGAACAATTCATTAGTAACTTATAAACAGGGGATTTTTACACAGTCCAGTTTGATGCTTGCATAGGTCTAAGCTGAAGCCAAGACACTCTGGTGTCTTGACACACAATAATGTGAAAGCCCTTACTGAGCAGAAGTGTGAAGCAGGTAGGTTTCAGCACGGTTTAATGAAAATGTGAAAGATAAAAATTTGTGGACTAATCTTAGAAACATCTCTGTGTTTGCTTTGCTGCAGCCATATCAAAGTACGAGACTTTTGGCTTTAAGGTCGCAGTGATTGCCTCCATTGTGAGCTGTGCTGTCATTCTGCTGATGTCCATGGCTTTCTTAACTTGCTGTCTGATCAAGTGTGTGAAGAAAAGTGAGAGGAGGAGAACTCAAAGGTATGTCAAGAAGACACTTTTAATAACAATGTAAGAGTGTACGTCATATGGACCCCATTGCTGTGATAACAAGTCCTTCTAAGTATTTGCTGCTTGCAGCACTGCAATGATGTTAATTACTCAATATCCTTAATTTGTAGGTCAGGCTTTAGGCTTGGAAAGAAAGACTTGGAATTCCAGAGTATTTAAATACCTGGTGCCTGTTAATATCAGATAACCTCAACAGGCCTGAGGAGATATGGATTTACCCAGGATTATGCAGAAGCTGAACACACAAGTCTTCTTTTCTGGCACAGCATTTCTCTCCTTAAGTTATTGAAGATTGGCAGTGCTTCCCCTTCTTCTCTATTTCTTTCCTTTTTTTTCCTTTCTTTCTTTCAACACTGCTGGGAAATGGACTCTCCCTGTGTCAGAGTCATCCAGACCCTCACCATCTGCAGAGCATCCTCAAAGCTGTCCCAGTGTGGGGCTGGAAGGACAGAGGATTTTGTCTTCTGGCTTGGAGCACAAATCAGTGGATTATAAACAGGAATATGAAGAAGTCAAATTTTCAATCCAGTCCATTATAAAAAGTCAGTGTGGGTGGTGTCAGCAGGAGCACATTAACCTGTAGGCTGGAGCCAAGCTGCTGCTGCTCACCAGAGCATCCACCTGCAGTCACTGCTGCAGAAAACCTTCCATGGGAACCTAATTCCCCTCTCACTTTTCTTGCTGGTTATTCCCACCAGCCCATCCAGTGGAGTGGAGGGAGGCTGGGGAAGACAGCAGTGAAGGTTTCAGTGCTGAACTGTGCTTTATCTGAAGCTACATGGGAACCAGCTGAAGGGGGAACTTCTGTCATTCAAAATCCAAGTGTAGCCAAAATAGAGATTTTTTTGTTTCTCTTGAAAGACTTTTTTGTGTCAAAAAATGAAAGTCCTTTGTGTCAGTCATTAGGTTTTTGTTGGTAGCATGAAATAAGTTGCTTTGAAATGAAAGGTTAATTGACATTTTTGGAAGTGCCACTTTTCTTTTGGTAAAACTATTGATATCACAATCCTTGTTTTTCATTTATTTTAAATGAAATTTTGTTAAAGGTAGCCATTCCCATTATTGTGATGACTTGATATTTTTCTCTTACAAAAGAAAAGCTCTTCACACTGGACATTATGACCTGATTCTGTCATCAGGCTGTAAAATGATTGCTTTTGCTGAGGCCTTCTCAGTTCCCTGCTACCCCTGTGCTCCTTTCCCTGTCTCCTGAAGGAGCTGCTCCATCCCATTGGCAACAGAGCCCAGCTCCAAGGGCACTGCAGACATGGTGTGTCTTATCCATTCTGTCAGAAAGAGCTGAAGTCACAAACAAACTGTCCCTGTCGTGGGAGAAAAAGTAAAATAATCCTGTGTGAAACTTGTCAGGTGCAGTGGCAGCATCTCTGTTGGTGATGGAGGTGGAAAAGTGGATCGACTTCTGGATGCACAAAGTATTAATCTGACAAAAAGCTGCAGGCTTGATAACTTAATACAAAATGAGAACTCTTGGGGGGAAAATAAGTGTCTCTTAGACCATATGTGAAAGACCAGCTAATCTGTACCTATGGAGCAGAGAGGATGTCCTCACCTTGCCTGTAGCTCTGAGGTCTGCCTGTCTTCTTGTGGCTCTTAGTTGGTCACCTGAGAGATCATCTCTGCCTAAACCTGCCTTGTATTGTGTCTAATGACCTTTGAAGTGTCATCTTGTGTTTAATCAATATATAATCATTAGGACTGGAAAAGAGCCTTAAGTTGAACTGTCAGCACAGCACTACCAACTTCACAACTAAACTGCCACACCCACATGTGTTTTGATGAGAAAAGGGACTTAGGTTGCTGAAAGGCCTCCCACCATTCATCCTCCTCACAGATCTTGACCCACTGAGGGAGCCTGGCTGCTGTTTTCTTTGGGAAGAGCAGGATTGTGTCCCAAGAAGACAGAAATGTCACCAAAATCAGCATTGCCAGTTCTCACCATTTGATCTTGTCCTTTCAGCCAGTGAGAGTGTCTTTGATTCTGTGAATCTTAAAGTTCTTTTAAAGACAAGAAAAGAAATTGTGGATTTTTTTCCTTGCCTCAGAGTTGCAGAGACCAGCATGAAAAAACAGCCCTGAGCATTTCCAGAAGAGAATTCTGACAGTGAGGGAATATGCTCTATGCCTAACAAAGGCAACATTACCTGTCTCCTCCATTTTTAAGTCAATATCTTTTCAACCTGCCTGGTGATTTTGGAAGCCTTAAGAATGGCAGTGATGCAAAAAGTCACAAAAAATAGGTTTTTTTTTTCCCAGAATAATTTATCCCATAAAATGGAGATGCTCTGAAGTCTTTTCACACACAACAGGTGTGTGATGTGTGATGTGGCCTGATGTCACTGATGAAGGTCCATGAGAACACTGACACATCATCCCACCTTACATGACTTTTCTTATTACCTGTAGTCTGGAAGAACACTGAATCAAATGGACATAATTCTTGGAGGTTTGTTCCTTTGAACTATCCACTGGTGCTCATAAGAAAATTGCTCTCATTTTCTTGTTTGTTTGCTTCTGAGGAGTGCTGGACAGTACTTAAAATAGCACTGTTTTACACATTAATATTTATGCTATTGAAGAACTCCCTATCTTAGGGTGTCATTTAAATCTCTACAAGTTTGGCTTACACATGAAGTTCAGCACATATTTAAGTGCTTTCTTCAGTAAACCTGGAATGAGATTTAAACTCTAGAGAGTCAGCTCTGTGGTCAGATATCCATTTATCACAGTACTGCTTCTACTGCTTGGTGTATTCACAGAGAAATGCAGCTGTGGTACCAGTTAAGGACTGAAGAACTAGAGCACATGCAAGCTGCTTACTTTGGTCATAAGGGAAGAAACAATAACAACAACAATAAGAAACTCAGGAATGTTTCAGTATTTGGTGATGTGACTAACATGGCATATGATAACCAAGGCTTCTCCAGGTAAGGCTGTTAAAATATAGTGGATTTGAATGAGGTGATGGGATCCTGGTTAATCACTAACCAGAGCTAAAACCAGCTTTGAGAGCAGGTATATCAGCCTGTGCACCCTGAGCCAAAAGTCTGGCTGTTTTGCATATGGAGAGTGGGTTCTGCTTCTAATCAGAGATGGAAGTGTCATTAAAGGTGATTCTGAATAAAACTGTCCTGGAATTGCTCTTGGAACAGATGTGACCCTTATTTATACCTTGTTCCCTTTTTCCACTCAAATAAGAGCTGTTTAATCAAATAATTAGTAAAAGATGCTGATTTTTATTATTTAATTCTGTAAAATGAATAGACATGCAAGGTAAGATGTGGGAATTCTGTATTTCATGAAGACAACAAATGGCCTGTCAGCTTTGTATTTCACTTGCAAGGCTTATTTTTTGTGTGTAGCAAATTAGGCTAAGTTTCCTCATCCTGTGTTCACCTGGCTTGCTGGAACAGGAGGAGAGTGCAGACACTGGGGAGATGCAAACATGGAGCTGGGACCAGCATGAAAGGACACGTTCCCTGTCTGGGTGATTGCTGTGGTACCATTTCCCCTCCAGTGTGAGGTGGGAATGTTGGCAGCCTGTGCCTGGAGGAAATCTCTAAACCTGTGGGTGTTGCTGCAGTGCTGAAGCTGTTACAGCATTGATTGTCCAAAGAAATAAATACAGGAACATGGCATGGTTGGAAAACAGCAGAAAATCTGAGGGCAGGCAGTCCCAAAGGAAAGATTCTGTATATTTCTGCATATCCGTGGTCAAGAACAAACCAAAAGAGAATTTAACCAAGACTCCTCAGGGAAGGCTCAGGCTTGACATGAGGAAGCATCTGTGTACCAAGAGGGTGGTCAGACCCTGGAACAGCATCCTGGAGGGCGGTTCGTGGTGGTGGCCCAAACTGGCATTACTCAAGAGGCATTTGGGCAATGCCCTTAAAAATGAGCTTTAGTTTTTGATCAGCCCTGAAGGGGTCAGGGAGTTGGACCCAATGATCCTTTGTCAGCCTCTTCCAACTGAAGTATTTCAGTCTAGTGTAGTGTGGTGTAGTCTACTGTACCCCATCCAATCCCATCCCATCCCATCCTATCCTATCCTATCCTATCCTCTTTGTGTCTTAAGGTTTCAGACACTTGGAGGAATTGCCCAATGCATCACAAGATCTCTGAGCACAGCAATCCTACTTGGTTTTCCTATGCAGAAGCTGTCTGAAGAGGTGCAGGGGATGAATCCTTTCCTGCCTGCCTTTTCCATGCTGTTTTCTGCAGCCCAGTTGTCTCAGTGTGGTTCTGAGACCTCTTGTCCGCTTTGGCCGGGTTGAGCGTGGCAGAATAAATCAGGTTGGGTTGACAGTGCCCAGAGAGAGATTTTAATGTTCACAGGGACTGCATGGTCTGAGGGGCTGCATCCAAACACCTGGGGCATGGTTAACTTCACAATCTAAAGGGGCACCTGAGGGCAGGGGTCCAGGGGTGAGCACAGCCCAGGGCCATGACCTGTTATGGAATGACTCCATCAGCATCCCCCCAGCACCCCCTGCCAAGGCCTTGGCTTCATTCCCTCCGTGCCAGGGACCTGGTCCAAGGCGTTACCCACCCCAGCTAATTCAGTTCCCACACCCAGCCATGGGCACTGGCTCTGCAGTCCACTCAGAAGAGGAACTTGAGATGAGTGCTGTCCATATCTGACAAGGGAGTGGGTGGAGGACTTACAAATTCAGTCATTTTTACAATAGCTTTCTCTTTTCTTAAAGAAAACTGTTCTGCTGCTTCTTGTAGCATATGAAGTATCTGGAAGAGTAAGAACTCCTCCACCCTTGAAGAAGACTCTCTTGAGTGTATGTTAATTCATTTTTTACTAGAAAAACATGTGGGTTATGCTACTTTTCAGACTTAATTGAATAGGTTTAGAGATTAACATTTTGATTCAGTACTTTAGGAACAAAATACTGTAAGAAGAGATAAAATAAAAAGACCATTATTTCAGGTAAGGCAATATAAAATAAAAATGCAGTTCTTTCAGGCAGGTAAGGTATTTGTTAAGATTTACAGACAAATTTAGGATTGAAATACTGATCAGTTAAAGCAGTGCTTTTAGTATGCTGATGTGATAATTTTGGCTGCAATGAGGTGACCTGATGTTAGTACAGAATGCTGATGTGTAGAAGTTATAAATAACAGAGAAGCCCAGCTGTGAGACAGTAGGGGCTCCATTGTGCTGTTCTGGACCTGGCAGCCACAAAATTAGAACTTTTCCCCTCATGTTTGAAGCATAGAGCAAACATCACAAACATGTAGTTTTGCAAGGAAAACATTGAATTTTAGTGGCAACTGCTTTAGCTATAACGAGCCTCATTGTGACTGCTTTGCTGGTTTAACAAATTGCTTTAAAATGATAAGAAATATGTGTACAAATACCAGGATCATTAACTACAGAGTGCAGTCACTCCAGATGGCACCTCTTTCATTTGGAGGTAAAGAATCATAATGGGGATGAACATACCAATTTTTAGCAGAAATATGCATGACCTGCAAGTATTTCCACCATATATTCTCTCTTACATTATTGAAAACGCTAAATAATGTTGAGCAGGGAAAAACAATTTACAGATCATGGTGCTGCTGGGAGGGAGGTGTTTCCCCAGCATTGCTTGTCAGAAGTTCAGAGCAGCAGAGACAGCACTTCTCTCTGTGCTGCAGAGGTTTGGGCCAGATTAGCTGAAAACAAGGGTCTGTGTCTAGGGAAGGGAGATTAGCTGCAGCCCTGGGCCACGTAGTTAGAGGAGAACAATGTCCATGAGCCTTCAAAGCCGTGCCCAGGAGGATTGCTGGGCAGAGGGCTTGTCAGCATCTTGGGAATGGTTCTCACAGCCTGACTGCAAGATGTACCAGGATGTGTTATTTTTGATGAAGAATAAAACCTGACCCTGCTGTAACACTTCTCTGAAGCACTTGCTTGTGCACCCAAGACAGACAGTCCTGTGCCATGCCAGCAAGTGGCCACATGGGAGAGCTGGGACCAGGCAGCTGCCAGAGAAGGTGTAGGTTGTTTTCTGCCCCGTGACAGGCACGGGGTAAAATATCAGTAAAGAGAAACTTAATGGCAGCTGTCCTTCCTCTGTGCCAGCTGCTGGTAGTGTTTGAGAGGCGGAGGTGAAGGTCACTGAGACGTTCTGTTGAAGAAATGGGTGTCCAGGAGAAGAGTGTGACGTGCAGAGTGGGGTCAGCTTAACACTACACTCACCTGCTGCTCAGGGTCAGCTGCAGCTGCTCCCCAGGGAAAGCTGTTCCAGGGCTTGACAACTCTGTCTGTAAGGAATTTTTTCCCAATATCCAACCTAAACCTCCCCCAACAGAGCTTAAAAAGTGCCTTCAGTTTTCAGCAAGCAGGCAAAGCTTCACAGCAAACTGGTGCAACAGCCTCAGCAGAGCTGCTGCTCTAGGAAAACAGGTTTAAAATACAGGGTGAGGAAATGCAAATAAGCAATTGCTCTGATAAACATCATTGCCAGTTTTCAAATCTGTAAAGAATTATCCTATCCTGCTGTAATGTACATCAATTAAATTTGAAGTATCCATGCAGGGAGGGGGCTGTCTTGTGCTTGTTTAAGTAGTTTGTAGCATTTTCACTTGTTCTGTAAGTGAAGCCATCAGTTCCATAAATAACACAAGGAAATGTAAGTGTCCTGTGCCAGAAATGGGAGCCTGAATCCAATTGAAACTCTTCTGGTCTGGCAAAATACACACAGCCTAGTGTAACATTGTAAGAGCAAACAGCAAACCCTTCTGGCATGAAGAGACATTAAAGAACCAGGCACTCCCCTTTTGGAACCTATTTATAAATCATCATGTGTAGAAGATACTCTCCCAGGAGCAGCACAGATAGCCAGTGTAAAGAAAACACTGAGAAAGCTCATTTCAGTTTGCATCAGCTTTCTAGTGATGGTCAGAAATGGCCACACCTGGGCTCTGTTGCTTTGCTTTTCACTGCAAAAGTCCTGTAACCTGTCCTGGAATCAATACTCTCTTGACTCAAGGGATGTGCTAATTTTTTGTAAGGGGGAATTGATGATCCAGCATTTTCCACACTCAGGAGAACTGAATGTAGCTGTACACTAACTCCTTTTCATTCTCTGTTAGCTGAGAGAACCAGAAAAAAAGTAGTCCCGCTCAAAAATGCAATTTAAAGAGAATCAAAGAAATTTGGTGTGGTTTTATGTCTAGTGTGGAAGCATTTGGAAGAAGCTGGGCGTTCCAAACTTGGACTGTTTAGAGGTGAATTATTTTTCACAGCTCTAAGTCAAGTTATAAAACATTCTGTATGAAGTAGCTGATCTGACTGCAGGGGCAAGACAAATGGAAAAGCCCATGTCTCAGTAGGCTTAAAGTCCTCCTTTCAGCTATTCACACAGCTGGAGCATATTACCAAGAAGAAAAAATCCTTCTGCAGAGAAGCAGGCTGGTGTGTTCTCACACAGAAGATATTTTTAGCAGCTGAAATTTTTGTACCAGAGCCCTTTCTGACTACAAGATGCTTTGCCATTGTACCTGGCAAAAAGCAGATAAGGGCAATCTAGCAACAAAGAATTCCAGCTGAAAAGGTTTTGTGGAAAATCCCGAAGTCCTGTTAGGAGAGTGTGGCTCAGCACCTTCAGCATCGCTGTGGGGTTTAATACTGCATTCCATAGAGCATCCAGTGAAAGGGCTGCAAAGGGCAAATGACCTGTTTGATACAATTGTATGGAATTGATACAGTTCCCTACACAAAATCTTTGATTGCATGGCACAAAGGACTGAAGGGGAGGAGACCCAGCATAGCAGAGGGGCAGATTTCCTTTCCCTGCTTTTCCCTGTTTTTCCCCGTGACTGGTCCAGCCTTGAGCTGCTCTATTCATGGAGTTTGTTTGTTTGTTTGTTTGTTTGTTTGTTTTCCCTCTTATTTTTCCTCTGCTCTGTGTTCCCTACCACCACCTTTTAGAGGCTCAGATCTTCCCAGTACCTTTCAACGTGCAGGTTTCAAAGAAAGCTGAGTCAGGGAAAGGGAGGTTTTACCTTGGGGCCCTGTTTAGAAGGGTAGGATAAACTGGCTTTTAAATTGCACCCATTTCTAAATTTCAGTCTTAACTGTCATAGCAAGAGCTCGAAGGGGGCATGTACAGCAACATGTGCTTTCAATAGAGCTGCTATTATTGTTTTCATAATGCTTTCCTGATTACCCCAGGGTCTTGTACAAAGCCACCAGGCATACAGCAACAAAAAAATCCCCTCCCATCCTCTAGCATAAAAGCTGTTTTGAGAGGCAGTGCCAGCACCAGGCAGCTTTGTGGCTGCGTTCTCACACGTCTCGGATGTCCTGTTAACAGTGTTTTCCCTCCAGCAAGGAACAGCTCTCCAGTCACACAAAAAAATATTTTTGTGAATCCTCTAAATCACATTGACAAATGCTGTGATGGCTATTCTTCTCCCCTGATGGGAGCTCCAAATTTTATCTGTCAGATAAAGGCTGTCCTTGTCAAATGCATCATGCACTTGGCTGTGCAGCACCCAGGGCAGGTTTATATTGCCAGGTAAGAGTGCAGAGAAGGGTTCTGATCCTCTTGCTGTGATGTTTTGAAGTAGCCCAGTTGGGAACTGGAGTTAAGGAAAGTTGAAGTGCTTGAAAAAAAACAGTCACACTTATTCAGGACAAAGTACAGAGCTTCCAGGGATGAGAGAGCAAACTGAAGACTGTGTCTGACTGAAGGTCACCCACGCAGAGCAAAGCCCGCTGCGTGCACAGTTATCCCTTGGTGACACTGCAACCCTCTTAACAGCTCTTCTTATCCTCTGCTGAGGTGAAACCCCACTGGCTTCACTGTCCCTCTGATGTGCTCAGGATTTGATCCATTGCAGGGAAGAGAGGTGCCTACTGTCTAATCCTACACTTACAGCATCACATAATCATGGAATGGTTTGGATGGAAAGGGGCCTTAAGGACTATCTCATTCCTCCCCTTGCCATGAGCAGGGACACCTTTCACAAGATCAGGGTGCTCCAATCTCCATCCAACCTGGCCTTGGACACTCCAGGGATGGAGCAGCCACAGCTGCTCTGGGCACACTGTGCTGACAGATGTCAGTGAAGGGTTAATAGCCCTTGAGATGGGAGGAACGGGTTGCTAAGCCAGGAGTACATTTCTTCTCCAAGTACACTTTTAGCTAGTTTGGGTTCCTGAGTTGGTGGTGGGCTATGGGTAGTTGCAGTATTTCACAACATAGGGCTTTATAGCAGAAAACATCAGGGTGGGATGCCTTCTGCCCAGGTGAACTATATTTATTGCTCTATAACCAGAATACCTGGACTTGACAGAGCTGTAATCCAGGCAGGGCAATTTACAAAGACTTTTTTTTATCAAAGGTTGTTTTGCTGGCCCATGCAAGACTTAATTCCAGTCCTTCTCTGTGTATGTGCTGATTTGATTTTTATTTTGACCTTTGACTATCACCTCAAGAAGATGGAACTGAGTTCCTTATACTATAAAAAAATAAATAAATGCACAGCAGCAAGTATCTCAGAAGATTTTCCTTTGGCAGTGAGGTGTGGAGCATTACCCCACCCAGCTTCTGTTTCCTGATGGCAGGTCACAGGGGTGCTCAGTGCTCAGTTAGTACCCAGCAAAGAGGTACCTGAGAGCTTGTTGAGGCTCTTACCATGACACAGTTATTTGCCCCACTGCTACCAACTGGTTTTGATGCTGGGAGAAGCAATTCCTTATGTTATAGCACAAGTCATTTGTGAAACACCTGATGTGCCAATAAAATGCACAAATTCTGTATCTTCACCAGAATGAATGAAACAGAAATAACTTTTCCTTTTGTGCTTACAGGTGCCAGGAAGAGTGGAGTCGGGATGATGTAGTTGCCAGGTGTTGCAAAGACAGCAGTCACCTGCTGAAGGCAGCCAAGAGCAGTGGTGCTCCTGGGACACACGCAGGACCAAGACACAACACCACACTGCAGACAGTGAGCTCCATACACGTTGTTGAAGTCTACAGTCATAAGGATAGCTACAACAAACAAACCTGCCAGATACCTGGATAGCTGGTGTCTGAAATGCAACTGCTTGTCTGGACCAAAATGAAATTTTGATAGAAAATGTGCCTTAAAGACAACATAGATAGTCCATTATTCATATGAATTGTAAGTTTTCTATATTCCAAGATGGTTATTTAACAGAAATGCTTCAAGGTCTCATACAAATAAATATATGAATGTTGAGGCTGTCAGTCCAGAGCTGTTCTCTGCTGTGTGCTGTGCAGTGTGACCATAGCAAAAGCATAATGTCCTTCTGCACAGCTAAAGAGTGGTACCCAGTTTGCATATTTGCCTCATATGAGGTTGCCAATAATAATTACACAACACTCAGATTCCAGTCTTCTTTCAACCAGTGGGTTTTGTAAGAATTTCAGAAATAAAACTCCCCCATATTTTTACAAAGTAGCATGGTAGAACTACCAAAAAATGGCTTTAATTTAATGCCCCATCATTTTGGATGAGGAAGGTCTTTAATCTGCTCTGCATTTAGGGACCATGTGAGACTGGTCAAAGGCCCATCTGCAGGTCTGCCAGCCTGCAGGAGAGGACAAAGGGAGGGATGTGGTGTTGTGCTGTGCCACACCTCAGGCCCCCATCCCTGACCTCCTGTAGCTCCTGCAGTGTCCCAGTGCGAGAGCAGCTGGTGTGTGAGTGGAGACAGTGGTGCAGCCTTCCTGGAGCAGCCAGCTCGGGATCACTGCAGCATCATCCCTGTCAGAGCTCTCTAAATAAAGGGCTGAGGTAGCTTTTGAAAGCCTGCCTTCTTTTCCTATTATTAATCTGTTCATCATATGAGAAAACAAGGTGGTTTTTTTCCTTGTTTTGTCCCTTTTAAATAGTTAAGTAAGTCAGGTTAAATAACTGATATGGCTCTTTTTCTAGTGTTTATATGCAAATAAATCCTACTTATAGTATATTTATTTTTGTTCAAGTTAAAGCCTTACTTAATACTGTCATCAGCTGTTTAATGGGTATCATCACATCCCTCTCATAGGTAGAAACACAAACTTATAGCAAGCTGCAGTAATTGTTTTATAGTATATCCCCTTGGTATGAACCAGGCATCCTCTCACGACCTGCAGTTCTGAAGCTTCCATTTTGAAATTCAAATTACTGTAACTTGCTGGCAAATACCCTCTTCTATCCTGGCAATACTCTGCAGAGATCAAAAACACGTGCTTGAAATTCAATAACATGGAAGTTGCAGAAAAAGAGCTTTTTTCTTATTTCTAATAAGCTCAGTTCTACTGTACATTACACCCATGTACACCCTGCAACACTCTTCTCATGCACTGCAGAAAGGAGAATGAATGTACTTCCCATCACTCCACCCAATTAAGTTCTCAATTAATCCAATTAATACTAGCCATTGTTTATCAGGACATAGTTGTGCTGTGAACTATTTTGCCTATAGTTTTCAGTCCCCTGTCACAGCTTCTGTACCCAGCAGTGTGGGCAGCAGGTCAGGGGAGGTGGTTCTGTCCCTCTGCTCTGCTCTGCTCTGGTAGGATCTCACCCAGATCTCTGTGTTCAGCTCTGGGACCCCAGCACAGGAAGGACCTGGAGCTGCTGGAGAGAGCCCAGAGGAGGCCACAGAGGTGCTGCGAGGGCTGGAGCCCCTCTGGAGCCAGGCTGGGAGAGCTGGGAGTGCTCCCCTGCAGAAGAGGAGATCCAGGGAGACCTCAGAGCCCCTTCCAGAGCCTAAAGGGGCTCCAGGAGAACTGGAGAGGGACTGGGGATGAGGGAGAATGGCTTTTCACTGCCAGAGGGTTAGATGTGGTACAGGAAGAAAATTCTTGGCTGTGAGGGTGGTGAGGGCCTGGCCCTTAGAAAATGGGAAAGGGCAAATCTAATAAGGGGAGAGAAGAGAACTTCAGAAGTACCAGAATGGAAGGGTTTATCTGATCCCCAGAAGTGTAGAACAAATGGTTAAACAATTCCTTCACAAAGAAGATACATCTCAACCTAGGATTAAAAAGAGCTGTAGGCATGGGAGGGAGGTGTTCTGTCCTGCTGGCAATATTATGCTTAGAGTGAACGTGTGAAGGGTGGTCAAGATATCCTTGATCCTGCCTCTCAGCAGCTCCTTTGAATTTCCTTCCTCTTCCCATCTCTATGATTATGTTCACTGAATTCCATGATTTAGTTTCCCGGTGTTTTAATTTTATTATGTGGCTTTAAAATGCAATAATGTGACTGCAAGTGAAATAAATTCCCTGTTGGGATGTTTGGGTCAGCACTTTGTGTGAGCAGACAGCCTGGCTCCTGCTGACTTGCAAAGCTGAGTAATGTTGGATGGGACAAAGTGCACCCTCGAGCTGGCAGGGATGCTGGCAGTCCTGGGAAGCACCCCAGAAGGCAGGTGAATTCAGTGTCCCTGTGCCAGAGCACTACATGATGATCATTTATTTGGGCAGTTCATGCAAGAGGCAGCAGAGCTACACCTAGATAAGGAAACAACACCCAAACTGTTTGTGTAAGATTTGTGGCTTGGCTCCCTCTGGGAGGTTAGCTCTGATGGCTGCACCCCCTGGAGTTAGCTTTATTGCTCATGCAAACATAATTTACTGTCAGAAGGGGGAAAAGCGCTGTGCAGGAAGGAGATGGGAGCAGCTGAGACTCTAAAATAGACACTTAAAACCTTGTAACTCCTAAATATTTGCTGGCCAGTGGTTCCAGCTGGATTCAAGCTCCTATTTCTGCTACAGAACACTTGCATTTCCTTGTGTATTTTATGAAATTGATGGCTTGCACACTGCTCACAGAAGTGTTTCACACAGGACATACGTTGTATCTATAAACTGGAGTCTGCAGTGGCTTCTAACCCATGCCTGGTACTGGCCTTTACTTCACTCAGGCTGTGGGTTTCATGCTGGCTGCACACCATCCTCTCCATCATTCCTGGCTGTGGGGATCAGAGGCCTGGAGCTGGCACAGGGGTGACTTCCATGCGAGGACATGCACCCCAAGCGGCTTTGTTCCTTTCCCACAGCTCTGCAGAACATCAGTTTGCCAAATCTGTCAACTGTTTATTTACACACCTATTTTAAGGGGAGGATGCTCTAACAGCTTTATTTGCTTCCTGTCTTCAAAGAATTCAATTGTTTGGGTTTTTTTTAATAATTATTTGAGTATATTTTCTCATGTGTACAATTTGATTTGTGCTTTACAAGGGGTAAGATAAGAAGCCAAGTGCAGTATTGAAATGTTTGTGAAGCTGGCTGTTCATTCTCCAGAATCCGTGCGATATTTGCCAGGGTTATTTGTGATCAGTATACTTGGATCTGTTCTACATACCCATTCTTCCCTTATGCCAGGAACAAGAGATACAGAATTTTTTCATTATCTGCACCATCTTCTTGTTTTACTAATGCTGTTAAAATTTCCAAGGATTGAGTATCATAGAGCAGAATCAGGGGTGTGTAATTCCCCGTGTACAAAGTGAATACACAGAAAGTTAAAACTCACCAGGGGTTTCCAGACCTATGGATGCTCCAGGATATCATTGAATTCTCATTCTTATCATTGAATTAATTTAATGTGCTGAAATGGACCCTGAGGGGTCATGGAGTCCAACCCCTGGCCCTGCCCAGACCCCCCAACATCCCACCCTGGGCATCCCTGGCAGCGCTGTCCGAGCTCTCCTGGAGCTCTGGCAGCCTTGGGGCTGTGCCCATTCCCTGGGGAGCCTGGGCAGTGCCAGCAGCCTCTGGGGGGAGATTATTTCATCCAAGTCAGTTCTGTTCCCATTTCATGGTTTGGCTTAACTGCTTGGGAATAAAGAGCTGGGAATTTGCAGCACAGCTTCTCCTTTTGTGTTTGGAGTCAGAACTTTTTTCTTCATCGCCTTCTAACCAACAAAGTAATCATACCAATAATCATACTCTGACTATATAAATAAGTTTGGAAAAGAACCCATTTTATATGCAAAGCAACACTAGAAATTATTAGCGCACACACAAAAAAGCTTTCATAACTTTGAGTAAACAAACATCTTGGTTCTCGGAGCTAATTACACGTCCTTTAAAATCCCCAGCAAATTGCTGCTGGCTCCCAGGCGCAGAGGAGCAGCCGCCCATCGCTCCTGGCAGAGCTCTGCCGGCTGTCACAGCCGGACTCGCTCCCTCCCCGTTTACTTTCGCTTCCCAAAGCTGCCCGTGACCTCTGCTTATCCCGCAAGGAGGATTGCACCGCGGTGGGACGTGTGCCGGCCACGGCACGCACCCACCCCGAAACCCATGGATGATGCTCTACAGAAGCTGTAAGTGCACATTTGTAAGGAGGAATTCGGGCAAAACAACGGGCTGAAAGATGGAAATTTGTAGGAACAGGAGTTCAGAGCCAGAGGGGAAGTGGCTCTGACGGGAGTGACCAGTCGGTCACTGCCTTCACATTTTCTTCCCCTTCTTAGAGCTTGTTTTTGTAAATTATTGACTAAAACTTGCTGAAGGGAGCCTAGTGCGCAATCTGAGCTTTTAAGAAATACTTTATTGTGTTTTCTTAAGCACAAAGAAAGACTGTTAGAGGAGCTGCTTGCGCTATCTGGACTCAATCTGTTGCCAAAGAGATCCAGTCCTCTGGCGGTGGGAATATAACAGAGTGTCCTGTGATTCAACAATTAACAGATAAAACCAAACACTACATGATGATGTTGCCAGGGCAAGGGTGATATTTAATAAGTCAGATAACTCACTCAAATAAACAAATCGGTTTAGCGGGGAGAAGCAGTAGTGGCTTTTGAGATCAGCTAAGCAGGAAATCAGTGTGCTGGGAAATAAAAACGCTGTGGTGCCGGTCACTTCGCACGGCCGCTAAACTGGGAGTCAGAGCTCTGAAATGAACCAGGGTTTTGGGAAGGCTGGGCTCTGTCAGGAGCGGGGTTCGCACTTCGCCCGGAGCGCTCTGAGCTCCGCTGCTCGCGTCCCCCGCTGTCACTGGCTGTGAGTGTCACTGGGTGTGTCACCGGCTGTGAGTGTCACCGGGTGTGACTGTCACCGGGTGTGAGTGTCACTGGGTGTGAGTGTCACCGGGTGTGAGTGTCACCGGGTGTGAGTGTCACTGGGTGTGAGTGTCACTGGGTGTGAGTGTCACCGGGTGTGAGTGTCACCGGCTGTGAGTGTCACCGGGTGTGAGTGTCACTGGGTGTGAGTGTCACCGGGTGTGAGTGTCACCGGGTGTGTCACCGGCTGTGACTGTCACCGGGTGTGAGTGTCACTGGGTGTGAGTGTCACTGGGTGTGAGTGTCACCGGGTGTGACTTTTACCGGCTGTGAGTGTCACCGGCTGTGACTGTCACCGGGTGTGAGTGTCACTGGCTGTGAGTGTCACCGACTGTGAGTGTCACCGGCTGTGTCACTGGGTGTGAGTGTCACCGGGTATCATCTTGTTCGGCTGTGTCACCGGCTGTGAGTGTCACTGGGTGTGAGTGTCACCGACTGTGAGTGTCACCGGCTGTGTCACTGGGTGTGAGTGTCACTGGCTGTGAGTGTCACCGGCTGTGAGTGTCACCGGGTGTGAGTGTCACTGGCTGTGAGTGTCGCTGGCTGTGAGTGTCACCGGCTGTGAGTGTCACCGGCTGTGAGTGTCACTGGCTGTGAGTGTCGCTGGCTGTGAGTGTCACCGGCTGTGAGTGTCACCGGCTGTGAGTGTCACTGGCTGTGAGTGTCGCTGGCTGTGAGTGTCACCGGCTGTGAGTGTCGCTGGCTGTGAGTGTCACCAGCTGTGAGTGTCGCTGGCTGTGAGTGTCACCAGGGGAGGGCACTCGGGGCCAGCCCCAGCCCGCTGGTTCCCTCCGGGCAGCACGGGCACGGCCTGAGGCTCCGCAGGATCTCCTGTGCGAGGCTGTGTGACAGCCAGCCCAGCCCGCTGCAGAGGTCCTGCGTGCCACCGGCATGAGGAGGAGATATGTTTAACCTCCTCTTCTTGTGGATTTGCCCGAGTCTGCAGGACAAAAATACCTCCGTGCACAGTGGCTCCGTACATCGCAGCATTCCTCAGGGATTGATTTTCGCTTCCACTTCACTCACTGTGAATCACTCACTTGGAATCACTGCGTGCTGAAAAACATTTAGATTTGTATCAGAGATTTCAGTCCATGTCACACTAAGATTGACCAACAGGTTTTCTGTTTAGTGTTCAAGATTCCCATCGTGTAAAAAGTTCTAAAAGCTTTTAAATTTAAAATTTATAAAATTTCTAAAGGTTTCCAGGGCAACTTTTTAGCAGAGTACAAAATGCAATGAATTCACAGAGGTATAAAGGGGTCATAAAAAACCCTCAGCATGGTATTCTCCCTCTGCTTCTTAGTATTAGGCAGCCCCTCCTGCTGTAGTGTTTTAATATACATGTGGAAGTGAATAGTGGAATACAAGAATGGTTTGGGTTGAAGGGACCTTAAAGATCATCTTGTTCCAAACCCCTGCCATTTCCACAGTGCCAGGTACCTCAGTCCCATCCAAAATGGTCTTAAAAATATATGACAAAAGGAATTATAAAATTCCAAGTTCCTTTTCACAATATTCCTATTTCTTCACTAAAATACATTGCCAAAATCACACCAATGCAGGCGTGATCGAGGTCTCCATGTGCAATAATAATAAGTTTAAAAATTATTTTTGTGCTTTTAGGAAGATCTGGATTCCAGAGGGTAGAAAGGATAAACTCAGGGTGTTTATGCTCTACCGATCTACTGAAGGATATGCACTGTGAATGTCACAGCGTTTGACAATGCTTCAATCTTCTGCATATTTATCCCTAGCAAGGCATATTCTCTTCCATCCCTTGCTAGGTAATTAATTGTTGATAACATTTAGTGCAAATGGCAGGTTTTACATCCACAAATTTGCTTGTACTTTTTCCCCTCACAAAGTTAAATATCCCAATTAATTAGATGTTTCACTGCAACCTTTTCTATGAGAGAAGCTGGGCTTGAGTCGCTACCTGCCCAATGGACCTTACGTGTCCAGCTGCATTTAAACACGCCTTGTGCTGCAGCACAGGGAAAATATAAATTCTACATGTGTGTTGTGAAGATGTAGACATGGTGTTCAGGACAGTGTGTTTACTTCTGGACATCACGGCTTTACTAATCGTGCATTAATTCTTTAAAAACTCCTGTCTGTGCAAGTGTAAATTCGCGGCACGGCCTGGTGAGCAGGGACATTTGAAGAACTGAGCTGGAAGCTGAAGGCGCTGGGAGCCCCGGGCTGGGCTCGGGGGGCTGAGGGGGACCGGCCCCGGCTGCTCCCCCGCCCTGGGCTCCGCTCCCCGGCTCGGCGCTTCCTGCTGCGGGCCCGTGAGGCGGAGCCCGGCCCAGCGCCGCCCGCCCCGGCCCGGCCTGGCAGGAAGGCCGCGGGGCTCAGGCCGCGGGCCGGGCGGGGCTGGCGCTGCCATGGCCGGTGAGTGCGGGACGGGCGGGCTCCGGGGAGCCTTGGTGAGGCGAGCCGCGTTCCCGGGCCCGGCCGGAGCCCCCGGCCGGCGTGGCGGTGTCTCCGCGGCCCCGGCACGGCCGTGGGTCGGGGTGAGCGCCCCGGGGCCCCGCACGGGCCCGGCAGCACCGCGGGTTCCCGCACGGCCGGGCCGCTGTGGCGGCGGGCGGGGCCGGGCCGGCCGCGGGCAGCAGGGGCGTGCGGAGCCCCGGCACGGTGTCCCCGGTGTCCCCCGTGTCCCCGGCAGTGCCACGTCCCACACGCCGGCACACTGGCTGTGTAAATGAGCTGTTTAACCCCAGCCTCCAGCCGGCTCGCTCTGCACCTGGGGAACACACAGGTGACTCGGAGGCCCGGTTGTTTCAGCCATCGTATGGAGCCTGGAGGTCTGGGACTGTGTGTAACCTAATGTCGCACTCTGCTTTCAAATGCTTTTTAGTGTCTTGCTCACTGCAGTTTTGCTACGTTTTCCTCTTGTCTTTTAAAAACTGTTTCAAGTAAAAATGATTTACTGAAGACTACAATTCCCTGACAGGTGGGTGTCAGTCTCCTCCCAAGCACCAAGCAAAAAGATGAGAGGTAATGGCCTCAGGTTGCACCAGGAGAGGTTTACGTTGGATATTAAGGAAAATTTGTTCATTGAAAAGGTTGCCCTAGTACAGGCTGCCCAGGGCAGTGGTGGAGTCACCATCCCTGAAAATGTTCAAAAATTGTGTGGATGTGGCACTCCAGGACAGAGTTTAGTGCTGAATATGGTGATGCTGGATGGATGGTTGGACTTAATAGTCTTAAGGTTCATTTCCAACCTAAATGATTCTGTGATTCTCTTGACTTGCTGTCAGAGACTTTTGACTTCTGGTAACTTGCAGTAGCACATGGTAGTGGATGAGAGTAGCAGGGGAGGGCAGCATCTTGTTTTTCACCTTTCTGTCATCCTTCCAGCCCAGAGGAGCAGACTCTTCGCAGGTGCATTTGGTAAACAGTGCCATCTGATCATCTCAGAACATTTCTCTGCAGCCAGTCTCCTTCTTAAATCCTTGGCCTCCCTTTCTTAGGCTCTTGAAAGGGAAAAGCCAAAACTAAATTAGCGTTAAGCTAACATTTTGTTGAGAGACTTTTCCCTCTCTTTCTGAGATGCTTCTGAAAGGAGTTGTCATGGACACGTACAAATGGTTTGATCATCAGATCCACACCTTGCAGGTTTTGGTTTCCAGCTTTCCTGTATAATGTTTATGAAAATCACCTAGGAGTTTTACAGGAAGTAGCAGCTCGTGTTTTCACTGTACAGCAGACACCACAGAGGTTTCTGGAACGGATGTTTGCAAGTTCTGTGTTTTACAGAGAATGTCAGAGAGCTGCATTGGATTTTGTGTCTGTTGTATTTAAATTTATCTCCTTAATGATCCTGTTTGTTTGCTTGGTAAGAAGGCTTTTAAGGGGAAAACAAACCAAAGATGAAACCATAATAAAGACACAGTGGTGTCAGAGACAGTGTCCAAAGTCCTTATGTAAATATTAGTGGAGTTATTAATTGGGAATGTGTACCTGCCTGACTAAAGGTGGTTGGCAGCATTTATGCTCCCAGGGCCCAGGTATGGATGAGAGTGTTTGCATGTTGCAGTGTGGCAAGGAAGGGCTGATCTCAGTCTACAAATTTGAAATGAAGCTGTATTTATTAATTTACTATGATAAATGTGAAATGGCATTGCAGCTCCTTAGGGCCCTGTGGCTTTATCCAGAAGGGCAGTGAAAGTAGATCATAGAGAAATATGTGCAGGGGATTGTGACAAACAAAATCCTGTTTGATGTTTCTTGTACAGAAAGCAACATGAAGTTTTTTATGCTAAGAATAGTTAAGCAGAAACAAAATTACGAAGGGTTTTTTGGCAACCAATATAACCTGAAGGTTCTGTTTTGTCATAAACGTCATAATCTGACTTCAGAAGTGATAAAGAATTTATCTTCAGTGATTTATTAACTTCAGTGCTGTATTTGATTAAATATCCATCACAGCTTGACTTCTAAATGATTTAGAGCCTTCTCCCTTTGGAAAGAGAGAGGCAGTAGGAGTGACCAGCCAGAAGTTTGGATTTGTGTAATTTCAAGTGGATGGGTCTTTGAAAGCACATGACATTGTTGTGTTTCCCTAACAGATAGTTCAGCTTTCTAATATTAGGTGGTGGTGATAATTTTATTTTAGCTATTTAATCACTGGTAGGAAAATGAAATTTATGGAATTTTAAAAGGGCTTATTAATTAACTGCTGTGTTTTGTTCTGTGTTATTTTATCTCTAGATCAGTCGTACTGTCAACGGCTGCAGCATGACATGCATTTCCTTACAAGCACTAGCCGACTGAATGAGCAAGTGGTTGATAAAATTGTTCTTCAGCTTAACAGAGTCTATCCCCAAATTCTTACCAATGAAGAAGCAGAAAAGGTAATTTGAGGAGTTTTGCTGTGTGTCTGAGTGCTCTGTTGCTTTTGAGGGTCACCCTCTTCCCAACACAACTCTTGGTGCCACATGCAGCCAGTCTGGCTCACCTCCTGCTTGCTGACCAGTTGTATCTGGCACCTCATGTCAGAGGAGCAGTCACAGGGCTGGCACGTTCCCTGTGCCAAGTGGTCATGAGAGAGGATGCTCTCTTCAGCAGCAGTTCAATGCCACGGTCCCTGCCACGATCAGGGGCACGCAGATTGCAGCCAGTGCACACCCATCCTGCGACCACATTCCTGGCGTGCCTGTCTCCTCACATGAGGTGGTGTGGAGTGGCACACCAGGTGATCTGTGCTGCATCCATCTCTGCCCACAAAATCATCTATATTAGCTCAATCAGTTTTGGTAACCAATTAATAATTTTAAGTATTGGTAGAGAAGTGGGGGGTGTTAGTCCCACTAGTAAGTGTGGAACTGTGGGAAGTAGATGGAGTTAATATCTTGCAGTGGTGCCACCGGCTACCCTCCCTGACATGAAGCTTTCAAAAATGGATAGCTCTTTTTAGGAAGAAAAAGCTTCTAATCTTGTGTAGAGACAAAATTAAAGTCAGCTAAGAGCTTCCACAATCCTACTTGTAATAGTTTGTACTTGCCCTCTGCTGGCTTCATGTCTGCACAGGATTTTGGCATATCGATATTTTAACATCAGGAAAAGTAGGTCCAATTCTACCATAATCAAACTCCATGGGGACAGTTAGTGTTTTGTGGTGTAGAGCAGAGCTAGATCATTTTACTGAGGCTGTCTATGCCACTTCCCTCAAGAAGTTCAAAATAAATCCTTAAAGAATCTGAAACATGATTTGTGACTTCTGCACTTAGGCAAAGATGAACTGTTTTTTTATGGGTCCAGGCAAGTTTGTGTCAACTCTAGTGAGTGTTTAAGAAGCTTAAACCAGCTGTATCTGGTAGACCCTGTGGGAATTTTGTCAGAATAAGGAGTGTTGTGTAAGGTCTGTGACATTCCTGTCCCCCTCAAGCAGCAATTGTTCCTAGCTCAGTATGCTCCAAAGGTTATCCACTGTGCTGCTATGAAATGTGATGCTTTGCTGAGAATGGCTTCGGATTTTTTCAAAATAAGTGGAAATAAGTTTGATGTGTAAGGCTAGTGCTGCATTTTCCTTCTCTTTGCAAGGTCTCCTAATACTCATCACATTTAGCACTACAGAAAAAATGTATTTTCCTCTGCAGCTGTTTGCCAACTAAAGTAATGGGACTTTGTGCCTGTTGAAGTGGGTACACAGCAGTTAACTGTGCTGCAAATAAACAAACGATGAAATAGGAAATCTTGGGATGATGAATGCTCCAGCGTTGAGACTAGGATAAGCACTATAAACTGCCTTTTTGGGGATCATTACTAGGGAGCTAAGGGCAAACTTGAAAGCATCAAACTTTATTTCATATTATAAGATTTGCTGAAATATTCTATCTACAGCTGTAAGAATTAAACTTGTAGGATAGCAAGTACCATGTCAGCTTGGATGCAGGGAAGACATCAAATGCAGAGAGTCTTTCAGAAAAAGGCAGGAGAGGCAATGTGCTCTCCATCAGACTCTGCTGACCACATGGAGCTCAGTGCTGTGCAGTGCATGTATGTCCTTTTTAGGTTTCCCTTTTTGGCTCATTCTTTTAGTAAATATCAAAGAAGCTCTGTAACTTTGTTCCCTGGCATAGTGATGTAAAATTGATCTTTTAATCTCTCTTCTGTTTTAATCTCTTTTCTGATAAATGCTTTTCTCTTACAGTTCAGGAACCCAAAGGCATCACTCCAAACCAGACTCTCAGATCTGTTAAAACACCTCCAAAAGAAAGGAGACAGACACTGTCAGGAGTTTTACAGGGCTCTGCAGATCAATGCTGAACAGCTGTTTAATGACCTGCCAAGCAGGAAAATCTTGAGTAAGTTAATTTGTAAGTTGATTGATTTGTGGTTTTCCTCACCTGTGTATTACAAAACCTCGCTTCAGATGCAGTGCAGGTCATTTAAACAACCTAAACAGGTTATAAAAAATACAAGTAAACAAGTAACTGAAATAATTTTTGGGGTATACCTTAATTCCTTCTGACTTGAGTTTTCCAAAAGCTGTAAAGGGATTTTGTAATGTAAAATTGTAATTACCTTAATTTTGTCTTTGATTTTGGAAGAAGCAATGTGTATTACCCAGCACAAACTGGTGGAAGACCATTTTCTTGCCTGCTACAGAGTTAACCCACATCCATACCTGAATCCTTGTGAACTGGGGAAGCCTCAGAATCTCAGATGAGCCCCAGTCCCAGCTGACTGAGCCTCGCAGCAGACCGAAGGCAATGCTTTGATCTGATGTTCACCTTGCAGAAGTCTTGCACTTTGGGGAACAGGCTCTTCAGTCAGACTGTCTTGGATCTGTCATTTTGACTTGGGTAGAGCTCAAGAAACAGGTTTTTCTGTCAGGCTGACTAGCAGTTAGCAGACAGCCTTTATGAATTAAAAGCAGTTTGAGAAGTCTTGGTGTAGTCACTAAGAGTAAAATTTCAGGATTGTTTTGATGTTTAAGAGTTGAAGCTTTTTAATGTTCAATAGCACATTCTACAAGCCATTTTTGAAAATGTAGCTTTACAAGGAGACTTGGATAGGGTCTGTGGGATGTTTTCACTTTTAGCTAGAGCAGAAATGTGCTCATCCTTGCACATGATTTGCGTGGTGACTCCAAGCTTTCCTCAGGTAGCCATGAATAGGCAGGGTTAGGGTTTCTCATGTTCAGACTCTGCATAACAAATACCTGTGTAGAAATGCTTCTTGTTAAACCTACAGCTCCTTGTGGCACCCAAAAACTGTTTTGCTGCTGCTGCTGCAAACTGCTGACTTCAGTAACCAAAAGTCACTAAATTCTCTGTTATCTTGGTACACTCTTCTATGTTACCATCCTCAGAAGGATGAGGATAATTTAAAGAACTGAGTTAAAACATTACTGTGTGCCGAGGTTTGGCAGTTTCTTTCTGTTGACCTAAGTAATAAATACTGAGATGATTGTGTTAATATGCTTGCTGCTTCTTAGAGTTCTGTAATTAAAACAAATGTCTGCATTCTGGATTGAATGGTCAAGAAACATCTGTGCAGCTTTTTGAGCTAAAAATGCAAACACTTTCATGCTTCAGGGAAGGCTCCATCAATATGAGGAATAACTTCTCATTGAAGTGAACTTGGACATTTTCAGTATTAAAGGCATTATGCTTCAGAAGTCCAACATGCACAATTCATTACTCAAGTGTTATTCCTTGGAAGTGCTCAAGGAGTGCTCAAGGCCAAGATCTGTGGGGTCCTGAGCACCCTGGTCCCTGGAGGTGTCCCTGCCCATGGCAGGAGGTTGGAACTGGATGGTCTTCAGGGTCCCTTCCAACTCAAACCATTCTGTAATGCTCTTAGCAGTAGTTGTTAAATTTAGCACAAGGCATTTACAGAATTGCCACTAGAATTTGTAAATGTAAAGAAAAAGGAAAATCCCTAACATGGGGATTTTGTTGTAAATGCAGGCTGAGCTGAAGCAAGCAGCATTACAAACAGCTGGAGAAATTACTGATGATGATGATGGATGAACCATGGCCAGGACAGAGTTCTGTAATAGCTACACGCAGCTATACATGGGACAGATTTTTTTCAACAAAGGAAATCCTTTCAAATATTTTTCATATTTAAGACAGCTTTAAAATTTGTGCTAGAACAAAATTTCTTTGCCTGAAGTGTAAATTGCCAGTGAAGTGTCTGGTAATGTCTGAACATTACCACTAGAGGGGGGGTAAGGCACACGGTGTGGGCAGCAAACTGCAGTTCCCAAGGGACTCAGAAAATGTTTTTCTCTCCATGCTGACACAGACTGAAGGGATAAAGGCTCAGATCAGCCCCACGCAGCGATAGAAGTGGCAGAGATTTGTCTGTGCTCTCCTGTGCAGTGTGAGGATTCTCTAGCTGGAATTCCTAGGGAGGACAGCAGCCCCTCAAAGCGGCAGGCTGGGTGAGGCTGCCAGGGGCACACCGTGCTCACAGAGGCTTTGCAGCAATCCTTGCTGCTCCTGTGACTCACAGGCTTTACAGCAAAGGGCTCCAGATGCTTCTGTCCTGTTCCCCTACAGAGAGGGATATCCTCAGCAGGGGAGATGATCCCCTGTCTCTGCCTGGCTGGACAGGGCAGTTTTCGAGGCACCTCTTCTAGATCCTGGTGTCATGTAAAAAGAAGGAGAGTAGTTGAAACCCATCAGTCTTAAATTCTTCCCTATTGACAGCTAGATTCAGAGCTTTTACCTTTTTTTCTTTTTTAACCTTCCTAACCCTTTGATATTTGGACTTGTTTATGGTAGAGGTCTTTTCCAACCTTTTTGATTCTGTGATTCTATGACTACAGAAAGATTTGGCTAAAACAGTGTTGCAGTTTGTTCTGGAAGGTCACTCCTGTGCCGTGTCTGGTGACAGCTGTGCACACCCCTGCTGCAGACAGCATGATCTCCACATCTCTGTGGCAAAGGCAGCTCTGAAAGGGTCTTTCTGGCCAGACTGGGAACTACTGAACACCTTGTCCTAAAGCCAACCTCCTTTTCTACTAGAATTTGCAGAAAGATAGAGGCCAGAATTACTTGTACCAAATATTAGCATGTAGAACCTACAGAGTTTTGAAGAAGCTGGGCATGTGTTCAGCTGAGACCTGCATTTTGTAAATGATCTGCACCAAGAAGTGTTTTTATGTGCTTTACCTGCTAAATACATCAATGCCCAGGGATTTGCTCAAGAACAAAGAATGGTTATACATTATATTATAGAGGTGTTTTCAGATTAGTGCATCTAGGAACAAAGAGTTTGTATGTATTACAATGAAAATTGCTGGTGTTGTGAAGGATTATCTCCTGCTTTCCTAACCTGGGAAACAAGTGTAATGTTATTTATGTGGTCAGTGCTTAAGCAGGTGAGAGGTGGGGCTGCAGCTATTTGTAGTTGCATTCAGGTGACTCTGTGCCCATGTCTTTTGATCAGTCCAGCTTTAACTCTAGCAATGATTTACAGTTGGAGGGGTTAATACTTTATGTCAATATTGGATATTTTTCTGAAATATGTTGTTTTCCACCATTTTGCATGTGCTGATTATGTTTGTTTGTTTGCTTGAGCTGAGTACTAACTTTTCATGTGTTGCTTTTATTTCTAGAAACCCCAGATCCCACAGAGATAGACACTGACAAGGAGCAATATATGCTAAATGACAGGGGTAAATAAATCATACGGTGTCACTGGATGGAATGCCTTTGCACATTATGATGCAATTTATTATATCATGCAGTTTGCACTTCATGTAACAACTACTTTGGCTTATGATGTCTTTACTGTCACAAGTTAAGTAGAATTAATGGAGGAAAATATACTGAGCTACTGTTGAGGAAACCAGTGCCAGGAAATTGAAGAGACTATAGAGTATAATCAATATTTACAATAGTATTGTTTGCACTATTACAGCTAAATTCTTCATTTCCTGATTCTTTCAATGCCTGTCTATTAATTTTGTGTAAGGCCATCAGTAACTTTTTTTTTATCCTTTTTATCCTTTTTTTATGCTTTTCAATTTTTTTTCATTTTTTTTTTTAAGCTCTCAATTTAACTACAAATCATTTGAAAGCAAGGACAGAAAGGAAGGAAGATCTTAAATATATTTTCCTTAGGAAAACATATTAATTATTTTCCCTCCCTCTGTTCAATGCCAGATTACAGAGACAAATATTTTTTTCACAGTAGGATGTTTTGAAAAGGAAGTTCTGAAATAAAGATGAAGAGTTCTTACAATTTATAATGAACTGTTGTATCATTTAAGTTCAGTATTTTATTTACAGATTTAGATACAATAATGAATTATGCCTTTTTTGTAGTTTCCTGAGAGAAAACTGAAATAAGTAGCAGAAACTACTGTGTATATTTTTCTGTTGTGGTGTGTTGCTCTGACTATTGAACCAAATTGCTGTTCAGACTTTCCACATTGCTATTGCTGTCTGCAGCATAACAATACAAGATGAACAGAGAAAATGCTTGGAATAAGACAAACAAGTAATATTTTATTTTATTTTATTTTTACTTATTACTTTTTTTTTTTCTTTTTTTTTTTTCTGAGCCAGCCTCAGACTAGAGATTGTTTGGCCACTAACCACCCTCCTTGGGAGGGTCCATGCCAAGGAGCAACCAAATCCTTGCTCCTTTGCTGTTTCTCCAGTGTCCTTGTCCACGTAGTCAGCTCTAAGAATTTGTTGAAGCAGTACACTTGTCCTTAAATTGATGGGTGTAGCTTAATTGTATCTGCTAAGAGAGGTGTAGTGTAATTGTATCTCTGTTTCTAGTGAGATAGTAACCACAGAGTATGGGATAAAAAAGCAGATATAAATCTTTATGCTGTTTTGTCAGTGGAAAAGTATGAATTTGAAAGGTTTTACTGAACATCAGTACTGACCATCACCATTAAACTGTGTGTAATTCCAGGCAGGCAATTTCCAGGAGATTTGGTTTGGAAACTTTTCCTTAAATACCATAGGGTATAGCTAGATGAGCAGAGGGGAACAGGGAATGGTGGCAAAGCAACTGTAGTAAAAATTAATTGCAGTCCAGTAAATGTGCTTCACAGTACATTAGCTACAGAACATACAGAACTGTGAATATGTTAAGCTTCATTTGAATATGCTTAATTATGCATATTGATAGCAATTGGTGATTTATGAACTGAGCTGAACTTGTGCTGCCCTGCTCTGTCTCAGTGTGTTTCCTTGCCATTTCTGTAGGCCCGGTGTTCTTCCTGGCGTGTTTCAGCGTGGCTGCAGGACTGGCCCTGTTCTGGTACTGCTGTAACTCAGGTGAGCTGCTCAGGGGCTTCTCCTGGCTGCCTTCCTCAGCAGGGATGGAGCAAGCTGGGTTCCTCATCTGACAGGGCTCCCTAACAGGGTGGGTCAAGGTGGCATCATTCATTAATGAGCTCCGGATACAAATTGCACAGCAGACGTGCTGAGGCATAAATAATGGATATTTTGCCTACAGAGGATGCCACAAATAGAGGCTCTTTTTAAAGACAGTCTTTAATCTGAACAGATTCCTTGTTTGTCTCTCTTGGCAGTTGATTTCTACAAATGGAAGGAAATGGGCTTTCCTCTAGAGTTATTTTCAATTGGTTTTTATTTTTTGCAGATGCTGCTTCCTAGCTAAAACAAAATTTAACTGTGTTCACTTTCTCTTTTTCCTCTCATCATTCTGTTTTAGAAACACAAGTCATAGGAAGAGCCAGGAGAATCTTGGGCTTTTCTCCTATTATCATAGGAAGACATGCTAGAAATATTTGTATGTTGTATTTGGAAGACATGTCAAGAAATTAAGGAAAAACTCTTCGCATGTCTGTACAGTACATCGGCCAAAGGAACCCAGTGGTGCATAAAAATGTCCTGTACTCATACCAAAGATTTTATTAACTAGCTTCATCAATAATTGCCTTGCCTCCAGATGTATTTGGAATTTCAGTTATAATGTCCTTCTTTATGGGAATGGACCGTTTATTTTTGTAAATGCTTAAAGTATTTATCATTTGTATAAAAAGTATTTTTATTACAAGCTTTAAAATGATCTGTTAAGTGAGTGTGGGTCTGAAGCCATGTTTGCATATGTATTTTCCATACTGAAATGAAGGATCACAACTTTTTGAAGAACTCTGGCCTGTCTTTTGTGACAATTAATTTCAGAAAAGAACTTAAACACATGCACTCAAAGCCTTACTAAGAAATGTGTCTCTGTCTCAGAATTGTCTGTTTTGTCCAGATCCTTTATAGTCACTGCCTGAGCTCAGGTGGGCACTGGCACCTGTGAGGAGTTTATGGGGGCCAGTTCCCTTTACGTGTGCCTTGTAGTCACTGTGTCTTCTGATTCCCTGTTGGTGCCTCATCCCAGCCTGCCTTGTTCCCTGGCACACTCAGTGCTGGTTCCCAGCCCATGGGGTGTTCCAGGGAGAGGAATGTCTGACCTGAAGCACTTCAGACTGCCTAGAGAATGTTCCAGATCAATTTAGCTTTCCCTTTCCCAGTGAAGTGAAGGGAGGCTCTGCAGAGAGACGTGGACTAGTTGGAGTTGGGCAGTCACCAGCCAAGTGAAGTTCAACAGGGGGAAGTGCCAGATTGTGCACCTGGGGTGGGGCAGCCCTGGACAGGCTGGGCAAGGAGATGCTGGAGAGCAGCACCGTGCAAAGTGACCTGGGAACTCTGGTGGGTGGAAAATTTGTTATGAGTCAGCACTGCCCTGGCAGCCAGGGGGGACATCCCTGTCCTGGGGAGCACCAGGCCCAGCATGGCCAGCTGGGCCAGGGAGGGGATTGGCCCACTCTGCTCTGCACTGGGGCAGCCTCACCTCGAGTGCTGGGGGCAGTTTGGGCACCACAATATAAGATCAAACTACTGTAGAGCTTCCAAAGAACACTTCCAGGGGTGGGGCAGCAACAGCTTCTCAGGGCAGCCTGTGCCAGGGCTGGGAGAAGAATTCTGTCCCAGTATGGTACAGGAAATTTACTGTGGCTAGGGCTGTATTTCCTCCCTTCCTGAGGCTGCTGGAGATGAGAATGTCTCTCAGGGAAAAAAATGATCCAGAGTGAGTTATTCCAAGGGTTAGAGCTGGAAGGAGAAAGAAAAGTGAGTCTTGGTTCATCCTAGTGTTAAAGGACCTAACAGCAAAGAATAGAAAACAATCTGTTCCTTCATTAGTGCCAGTTGTTAATTTGAACAGTGAATGTCAGGCTGCCTATAAAACTGGCATGTGCATAGGCTGGGAGAGATTCTTTTTTGTGGAATATTTTTCTTTCAGGAGCTTGCTTCTCTGCAAGCACATCTATGCACATCTGGACAGTGATAATTCCATTTTCAGCTCCTGTAGGAAGCACATGTGCACCTGCATGGGAGTCAGGTCCTTCTGGGCAAACAGTGTTATGGACTTGGGAATAAATCGAGCAGGGTCTTGGATGAAGCTGTTTAGCTGCAGAATTTTCAGTTTCCTTGGCAAGTCAAAGAATAGCTTGGCCTGTGCTGGATTAATTTATAAACAGGCTTCACTCTGTGCAGGGAAGTTGTCCCAGCTGGGTTGCAGGTGGTTCCATGCTGAGGGTGGAGGCCATCCTTGTGAGCACTGTGGCTCCCATGCTGCAAGCAGGAATTGTACAGGAGCTGTGGAAATGAAAGGCCGAGTGACAGGACCGTCACTGTGCAGAAAGCTGGGAAACAAAGTGATAGATCCTACAAAGAATTTGCACAATTCCATTTAATGCCAGACTGCTATTTAAAGGACTTGGTGAAGGATGATATGCCTGATGAGCTGGAGTGGGAATGAAGTGATGATTCATTCTGGGATGCACTGGGCTGCTTTACAGCTGCTGGATGGAGTTTGCAGTTAAAAGTGCCTTTGCTGAGGCAAAGCTATTCCTTTTGTTTCTTTCATTTGTCGTTATTTTTCTCATACTGTAATAAATTGAAAACATATTTGGTCAAAATGTGTCGTTGTGGATGCTTTTCCATTCTGTGTGCACAGATGCTACTCCATGTTATGCCATGCCTTGGCTCTACTGCCAAAATTCAGTTTGCTGCACTTCACAGGGCCTGTGTCCTGTAGGAATTTCCCTGAACGTGCATCTTCTTGAATCCTCTGGAAATTAATGTATTTCTCTTTTTAATGGGGTGAAGCTGGAAATTAAATTGAAATAAAATCTGAGAGAAGAATGTTGCTGTTTTTCTTGTAGTTAATACACTGCTCTTCTTGCACAAGTGCCCCGTGGTTGTTGCCCTCCCGTGGCTGCCAATCAGCCCCTCCTGGGCTCTGGCCTCTTCATGGTTAATTCTTTCTGGGTGTTTGCACCAGATTTTTAACATTTTCACCTGTGCACGTTTTTCTGCTTAGCATGTTTAGGGATCTGAAGTTAAACAGGACTTAGCAGTTCAAAGACTGGGTTAATCCTTGATTTTGTGTCATTTTGGGAGTTCCAAGGGTCACTGCCCATGAAGCCTTGGAGGTGCACTGGTGCTTGCTGGAAAGGGACTTTGACACACAGTTCATTTTAATTGCTGCTCTGACCACCCAAGGAAAGCCATGCAGACAGATTTGTTACAGTTCTGTTCTCTGGCTAAGGGGGAACTGCTGGCCTGGGTGCCTCTATGAGCAGTGTTGAACATCCCACCAAAGGAACTTGTTGCTGTAGCAGGAGAATCATGGGATCATGGAATTGTTAAGGTTGGAAAACACCTAATTAAGGCTGATGTGGCACCACCACCGTGCTTACCACTAAACCATGTCCTGAAGTGCCACAGCCACATGTTTTATAAACACTTCCAGGAATGGTGACCTCACCACTGGGCAGCCTCTGCCAGGGCTGGACAGCCCTTTCCATGAAGAAATATTTCCTAATATCAAATCTAAATCTCCCCTGACAACTTGAAACCTTAGGTGGAGCCACTAACCCAAAGCCAGGACTGCATCTGCTGCATCTTTGGGGACAAGAGGAGCCCCAGAGCTTGGCACTGGATTCTGTTGAACAGGGCCTGGGTGGTTGTGGAGGAGGTTCTCTGAGATAACTTCATCAGGAGGAGAGATCCTCTTCATCCCGTGCCCTTCTGTAGCCTGACTCCTGAGCAAGTGGTATCTGCACTCCCCCCCTTTCCCACTGGTTTGTGGCTCCCTGGGGAGAGGAGCAGCTGTGTTGGTGGGAGGCTGTGGTTGTGCTGGTGCTGTGCTGGGCAGTGGCCCCAACCCTCTGCCTCTGCAGGAGCAGCCTTGTGCCAAGTGCCAGGTGAAGGGACCAGAGCAGAGCATCAGGGGCATCACCAAGCCTTGGATGTGACTGAAACAACGGCCTGATGAAACTACAAAACTACAGGATCCGGGGTGGGGGTAATTTTCTCTCCATCTTCGTCTCACCCACTACATAGGGATGTTATTAGAGCCAAATGGAAAGAAGTCAGAGGCAGGAGATGACAGGCAGGCAGCACTGCTCCAGTTAATTCTGTACCATTGCTTTGGCATTGAAGGAGCATTTTGGGTGAATCCTGAGCTGCCCTTTCTATTTTGGAGCACAGGCCACTATACACCGTGGTCACAAGGAAAAGCTTTCTGCCATGGTGCTGTTGATAAATCTTTAATAACATTGTGTCTATTAAAGCAAAAACCTTTCAGACTCAGTCTGTGCTTCATGCACTGGTAACAGGTGAAGTTGGGTGCCAGCAGCCAGAGTGCCACTGCACCTGAAGTCTGGATAAATCACAGGCGAGATGCGTTCTCACGGCACAATTCACAGGAAATCCTCCCTTTTCCATAACAAAACATTTCATCACACTCAGGTGTTTTTTTTTTTCCTTTTAAGCCCTGGTTTTAGCTGCCCTGGGGGTCTCCCAGTGCTCAGCCTGCCATCCAGAGGCTGCTCTGTGCCATCCAGCAGTGCCCCGTGGCTACTCCCTGCTGAACGCTCTGCAGCAGCAGAAACAGAGAGACCTGATGTTATTTTTCCTCTGTGGGCTCTGAGCTAATTCATTTTAAAAGCTCCTAGTGGAGGTTGGATAGAGGATGCCTGTGCCTCTTAAATATTCCTGATCCATAATGGTTGCATACAGCTGGATTTTGCTTTACCTGTGCCTCTGGAGCTGGCTCACACTCAATTTATCATGGCTGCTTTGCTCTGCTCTGGAAGAACTCTGTTCTGTCACGAGGTAGGGAGATGATTTACATCAGGTTGGAACCACATTCAAAGTCCAGGTATAACAGGTAAGATTATAGCAGAAAATAATAATTATTATTAATAGTAATAATTTAGATAGCAGTTTTCTATGAAAGAGTTGCAATTGTATCTTTCAGGGTATCCCCAGGCCAGGAGCCCTGTGAGATACAAGTGAATCTCATCTTGATGAGCTCAGAGGCAGTAAGAAAACAAGTAGGAAGTAAATTTCCCATTCAGAGCTGGATGAAATTCAACCCTGGATGAGTCTAGGCTGGTCCTGATTCTGGAAAGATGAACATTCCATCACACCCTGTGTCTGCAAGTGAAGAGGACATGCAAATTAATAAAAATATTAACAGTGACATCAGGTTTGAAGATTGCAGGACCTCTGTGTGATAACCAGGGTTCCTTCAAGATGCTGTGAGGGGTCCTACCAGTGCAGCTGTGGGATGTGGGGCTTTCAAACCTGCTTTTTTATCAGCATGGAGGAGAAATAATTTTTATGGAGTATGAAGGAGAACACTGACACAGACAGGCCCATTGTGGCTTGCTCCCAATGCTCCTCAGCACCTTCACACAGTCCGTGAAGCTCAGTCGCGTTCCCAACTCGCGTCCCCAGGATTTGAAACTCTACAAGGGATGGAGGGGCCTGAGGGGGTACAGTCATTTCTTTCCTGAGCAATGCTCTCCTTGGCATGCCTGGTGAATCATGTTTTTCTGACACAGAAAAAAATAACTCCTATTTCAGGGTAAAGACACATAGCTGTCTCCCTCCTTCCAAAGTCCAAAACAAACCCAAAGCAGAAGGCCTTCCCAACAGTTTAGATTATTTTTATCCTTTGTGTCAGAAATCTGGGGTAATGTTGGGTGGCGATGAAACCGATTAATTCTCAAATATTTTTGGCACCAGTGAAAATGTTTTGCAATGTTTCAGTGGTCCTGGTGTGGCGCTTCCTAGCACGGCATCATATTTACCACTCACCTCCCAACCAGTTAAAACCTGTACCATTAAAAAGGGGGTGGGACAACTTCTAGGCTGGAAGACTGGAGAAAAAGAGAGCTGAAGAACATCAGGAAGGAGGCTGAAGGAAAAAGGAACCTGAGTTTTCGCCACCTCCATTTCTGACAAAGCTTGACTTGCCAGATGAGGAGCCTTTGATAAGTCTCTGTTCGTGGCTGGGAGCTGGGGCACTCTTCTTGGGAGGCAGCCAGATTAGTAAATAGTTCTCATTATGAGAACCCAAGGGGATAAAATGAACCATGAAAACAGACCTGCAACAGACTGCAGAGGAAAAGTGAATTCAAAATAACCCATAGCATCCAATAGGAAGGCAGGTAATGTTTTGTCACCACCCTGTTAGGAAGTTGGCTAATTGTTGGTTAGATATTATTTTGAAAGGATTGTGTTCTGTGTTTCACATATCCTGCAATGACATGTCAGTGACCCTCCCAGTGGCATGGCCATGGACTAAGAACATCAGGAGAGAGGATGGGTGGGGGCATTTACAGGCAGAGCCAAAGGCTGGGCTCAATGATCTCGGAGATCTCTTCAACCCTAAATAATTCAGTGATTCTGTGACTCTGTGATTTCATACTGTGAAAATACATACAGTGAAAATTTCAAACAGTGAAAATAATTCAATCAGCATGAAAATAAGAAATCCCTGCCAACAGCTGCAGCCTTTATATACCACATTTTTTCCTGTCAGTCTCTTTGCTGTGGATGCACCTCCAACAATGTGTGTTTGCTTCCTGACATGTCTGCTATCAATCAGCTCCAGTTGTTCGGTCAGCTCTGCCCGTGCTCCTGCCCCCTCTGCCCTCCCACTGCTGCCAGATGTGATCAAGTGTCAGGATGGGAATTACTGGTGGGGAGAGGGGTGAAACTCCGGGTACAGCTGACACATCACCTGGATGCAAGCCAGCCTCTAATGGAAGCTCTGCTTTAAGGCCTGCTGTGGCCATGCTGTTATTTATCTCTTCCTGGAGTGCCTTCTCTCATTTATTTCAGTTTACTTCTTTCTCCAGGGACGTCTCAGCTGTCTCTGCTTCAGCTTTGTTGATCACCTGTGAATCTGTTGATCACCTGAAGGGCTCTGGCAAGATCGCACTGGGTGGGGTCCTGCTGGTGGTGCCTCCCCAAGCCCTTTCCAGGCTGCACCACGACCTGAGAAATGCACCTGGGCTCAGCTCCTCTTGAGCTTCTCAGAAATACCTGGGAAGTATGGACCAGTATATACCAGTATATACCAGTGTATACCGGTGTATACCAGTACATACCAGTGTATACCAGTGTATATCAGTATGTACCTGGTATATACCAGTGTATACCAGTATATATCAGTATATATCAGTATATACCAGTGTATATCGGTATATACCAGTGTATACCAGTATATACCAGTGTATATCAGTATATACCAGTGTATACCAGTATATACCAGTGTATACCAGTGTATACCAGTATATACCAGTGTATACCAGTTCTGCTTCAGGAACTGGTGCTGTCCAATTCCTCCCAATGTCCACCCTGAGCCTCCCCTGGCCCAGCCTGAGGCTGTTCCCTCTCCTCCTGTCCCTGTTCCCTGGGAGCAGAGCCTGGCCCCCCCAGCTGCCCCCTTCTGTCAGGGAGTTGTGCAGAGCCTGAAGGTCCCTCCTGAGCCTCCTTTTCTCCAGGCTGAGCCCCTTTCCCAGCTCCCTCAGCCCCTCCCCAGCTCCGTTCCCTTCTCTGGACAAGCTCCAGCCCCTCGAGCTCTTTCTTGTTGTGAGGGGCTCCAAACCGAGCCCAGGATTGGAGGTGGGGCCTCAGCAGTGCCCAGCACAGGGGGTGGCACTGCCCTGCTCCTGCTGCCACAGCGGGGCTGGAACAGGCCAAGGTGCCCTGGTCCTTCTTGCCCAGCTGGGCTCCTGTTCAGCTGCTGCCACCGGCACCCCCAGGGCCTTTCCTGCCGGGCCCTTTCCAGCCCCTCTGGCTCAGCTGGGAGCTGCAGGGGGCTCTTGTGACCAAGGACAGGACCCAGCACTTGGCCTTGTTCATCCTCAGACCACACTCACATCCAGCCCCTCCAGATACGACTGTGGAGCCTTCCTGCACAACAGCAGATCAATACTCCCAGCAACCTGAGTGTCATCTACAAACTCACTGAGGGTAAAGAAGCTGTTAATTAAAACAGCTGAATGGCAATTGAGGGGATACAGAAACCAGGATGGCGTTTTCTGCTTCAGCCTATTTTATGTAAGACTCAGTATGAGAATAAGCACCAGCAGTGACCTGGTTTAGAAGACAAATACTAGAGTCAGCTCCAGTAAATAAGGTTGTTGTCACCTCCTTTGGTAAGTAGAGCTACACTGAAAATCCCAGCCCAGGCTGTTCTGGCTGTGGAAGGGACTAATGAGTAGAACCGTGAGCAGCACTCACCCTGCCCAGAGCTTATGAAACAGGAGCGAACGGCTGACCTGGCAGGAACTGCTCCCCACACAGCCTGGAAAATTAATCTCGCTTCATTATTGATGACCTCTTTTTAAAAGAGATATTTGCATCCAACCAAGAACTCTGAAAAAGCTCAGCAAACCAAAGAACAAGTCCAAGAATGAGTCAAACCTATGTATTTGTTTGCTGCCCCTCAGAGATACTTGCCAGGATTTTAAAGCAGCACCTGACTTAAAAGAATAATAATCCTGTGATTAAATTATTTATACTTGAAATCAACTCGCAGATGCTTCTGTCTCCTAAAAAATACATGAACTCTGAAGGCTTCAGAGACTTAAAATACAGATTTCATGTCTGAGAATGTTTTGCAAATCTTACTTAATCACAATAAAAACATGGGAAGCGGCATCAGAAGTGTGACAGCCATGAGTGGGCATGAAGAGTCCTACAGCAGTTGGTGGTTTGTAAAAAATAAATACAGGAAGTTATCCTGCGTGCCTCATTCAGAATTTGTTCTGAGCTATGTTTAAATTAGTACAGCACACACAGTTAGACCACTGCCTGCTGGATACTGGTTAAATACATGTTACAGTGGAAATGAAGCAACAAAAGACAAATTAGAAAATAAAAAAGAATGTCTATTCCATTATTAATCACACAAGTTTGATTTTTTTCTGTTACTAATCCATACAGAACATACACATGAAAGTCTGGTACATCAATGGGCTTTGAGACATAACCAAAGAGAAAGATCAGTAATAAAAACTGTAAATGAGATGAGACATATGAAGTCAAACTTCTAATCTTATGTACGAGGGAGCATTGGAAAATTGATACTAAGAACATTGATTAATACAAATCTGCATCTACATATAAGTGCAACCTAGAAAACTCAGATTTTTCTGATTGCAGGTATGATACTTCGGAAATAAAATGACTGAAATGTTTTTGTTGAAGAAATTATAACCTACACCATCACTGGGAATAGTGTATTTAGAAAAAGTGTAAGTCCCTGAGCCAGCAGGTAAGGGCCTAGAGGGTATTTATATATATATATATATATATATATTAAAATATATATATATTTTAAAATAAAAATTTAAAAATTTGTTTTGCTTTTAGCCATAATCTCATAAAAGTAAAAAAAAAATGCAGCAATCAATGATGGGAAGAGAGAGAGGAAACTAGAGAGAAAAACTCAGTTCATTCTGCCATTTGAACTGCTGCTGACAGGCACTTGGTACCAGTTTAGCAGGTAAAGTCCACCCTGGATCCCCCAGTTTACCAGCTGAGCCTAGAAAAGGTGGCACTTTCTCTAACTGAGTTTCCAGAAATTTGATGTAAAAAAGAACCTTTTACAATGAGGGAGGTGACACAGGGTGCCCAGAGAAGCTGTGGCTGTCCCTGGATCCCTGCAAGTGTCCAAGCTGGACAGGACTTGGAGCAACCTGGGAAGTGGAGGATGTCCCTGCCCATGGCAGGGGTGGAACGAGATGACCTTTAAAGGTCCCTTGAAACCAAACCACTCCATGACTCAAATAAAAACATATAATGCACAGAATAGCAGTTCATGGTACGAAACCATTAACAATTAGGTTATTGCTATAACCTAATGAAGGACATGGGAATTTTAAGTGTGTCCAGAAGAAACAATACAAATGATTACCTGTGAAAGAAAAAAGAATGCTGTTTGTTTCTGTTTGTCTCATCTTTGCTTTAGCTAGAGTGGAAGAAAAGAAAAACAAGGCACAGCTACCTTTACACGCTGCAAAGGAAGAGCCCTGCTGGGCTACACAGCACATGGGCTTGCTGGCAAGCTGTGAAATAAAGGACAACGTCTCCACACCAGAATCAAAGGCCTGACATTTCCTACCATGGTGGAAATGACAAATTGCCACAAAAACCAAAGCCATGTAAAAAGAAAAGTCTCGTGAATTGCTACAAGATGATATTTCCTTGTTCTATGTGTTTGCGTCGCTTCTCCGAAAAAAAATTAAGTTTCTTCAGAAATTGAAATGCCAGTATTCCAGAAAAACAGTGTCCTTGGGGCAAAATCAACCTTTTCTTAGATGCCAAACAGTTTAGATATTAACACATGGGAAAATTTCAGGTATGCAAGTGTGTTGGAAGCTTGAGAAAGCTGCTTGGTGTGTCCAGCTTCTTCAAATCATTTTTCCTTCCCACTGTGACCAGTGTAGCTGGCTCAAGTGCAAATGGCATCTACAGTGAATGTTCCAGGTCTCTGAAACACAAAGATATTGCTATTTTAGTGATACAGGAACTGACACATTTGCTTTAAAGGGGGAATTAAATTTTCTGTGGAAAAGGGTGCATAATAGTAAAGGTGAAGCCAGAAAATGGTGGCAACCCACTTCTCTCAGGGTTTTGAGGAGACTTGTGACAACAGACTAAAAGCCACTTACTTTTCAATTTACATTTAGATGACCAGATGTTTTTAGCAAGGGCAATGGGTACAAATGAGCAAACAACAGCTGTAATGTTCTAAAGCAATACAGAACTTTCACATTTAACAAGTCTGCAGCAAAAAATAGGACACCACATTTGGCTGTTTAATTAGGAAACTGAGTGTGTGAGAGCATGGAGGCAGGAGCCCACAGCTGCTGGTTCTGTTCTGAGCTTCCTTATGCCTATTTCAGATCCTTGCCTCTGCCCCTGTCCCTGGTACTGTGTATGTTTCCTCCTGTGAAAGCAGCTAAAATTCCAGTAATCCTTCAAGCAGCATTTTTGGCTTTGCCAGTGTAATTTTGGGGTTAGTGCTTCAGTACTGCTTTAACATGTACTGCTGAAGTCAACTTTCTACCTGTGTTTCTGATAATACCTCAGATAACCTATGTGCTCTTTGCTGTTAAAATTCAATATTTATTAGTCTGTTTGTAGGACTATAGCCAGAAAATATAATAAAACTATCTTGTTTCACTGCCTGTGAATTTCACAGGTTTTGGTTAAAGCAGAAAATTCCACCCACACCCCGAGATAAATTAATGTAGTTCTTCATCTTCCTAGTAATTTTCTGCATGGTTTCCTCCCATACTGTTTCAACTGATGATAAATTTTGGTTTGATTCCCATTCTTGTTACACCACTCATCTACAGATTAATGGTTTAAAGGACTTGTATCTTCTTTTTCATGGGGAAAGGGTTTCCTGTAGAAGTTTGCACAAAGCAGTAACATTACATGCATGGGCTGAGTGCACCACAGCCTGTCAGCTCAGTCATTCCTTCCTCAGCAGGTCTCTGACCCTGGGCTGAGACCCAGGAGCCAGAGCAGTGTTGGCACACACAGACTTAGCAGTGCTATTTTAAAGGCAGATGTTGACCATGGTGCCTCTTGTGTTACAAGCCTACAATTTAGGTTTATCTCCTCCCAAACTGCTCATCATAGCTATGATGCTGGGAATACACCCAGTTTGATCCCCACAATTCCTTTATTTGTTCTGTGTAAGTAAAGAGCAAAGTTGAAAGTGCAGGTAGAGCAATAACATTGTCCTAAATAACCACATGTGAAGTGACAGCACTCATCTTTGTGGGCTGAGTCTCCCCCAGAGCAAAGCCCTGTCCCATGGAGGACAGAGGAGCCAGCACAGGAACTGAGAGGCTCCAGCATGTGCAGTGTTACATATCAGATTTAACAGACTTAGCTACTTGGAAACAGATTGTATTCAGTGTTAAATAACAGACTGGATGCAACCTTTCCTTAAAAAAAGGAGAGGCATTTGGAGAAAGCAGAACAACACGATTTCCCTTATTGTCTCAGTCTCAGTCAGCAGTAAGGAAAAGGAGTGGCTAGGCCAGGACAACCCTTACACTTCCTATGGGTGATACATGTGATCAACTTTTGAACTCCACATTCACAAACACACTGTAATAACTTACCCAGCAGCTTCTGCTTTTGCACTAATGGGAAATGAACTCAGGTATTTGCAAGAACTTGAAGAGTACAGATCAGCCTGTGGCTTTTTCTGAAGTGCATCCCTGGGTGCCTTGCCCCGATAGCTCATGCTGCAGGAGACCACACTCACCTGGTCCTCACTGTCTTGATGCTGACTCTGCAACTGGTTTCTGTACTCCAAAGGCAGTGATAAAAATATTCACAACTACTATAATGAATACTAGTCCAGTTGCAAGGTTGTTGAGGAAATTCACCTTTCCGTGTTTTGCAGGGTTGTTAAGGTCATATTTTACTTCAAAGAGAAAGGAGAAAAAAAAATGTTTAATGATATGTGTATTTCAAAATCCAGAATAAAAGGTTTCATGCTGCTGTAGTTAAAGAATTTATCTTATGCTAAGCTATTTGGATAAGTCGTATTTAAAAGGGAAGTCAGATTTTGCAGTGTCAGTGAAAGTGCTAAGGGGAAGGTCTGTAACCACAGGAGCCTATTAGCTTTCAGTAATTAGCATCTAATCTCTGTGGAGACACGTGGGAAGTAATGAATGCACTACCATCCCTAGAAATCTTTTGAGTTCTTGATGTTTTGAAGCCTACCTGTGCTGCAGACTTTCAGCATTTAAATGTCTTTAAAGTCTTGAATACATGACTGAAACTTGATGAAACTTCATGATGAACTTGATGAAGCTTCATGAAACTTGAAGCCCTGAGAGGATGAAGTTAAATATCCTAGCTAAAATGCTGCAGTTCTCATTACCAGTGCTGGATTTCTTTTCTGGTACATGGATATTACTGGTACCCTTCCCCAGCTTGTACTCCTCATACTCCCTGCTTTTCCCCTGATTCTGTTTTTAGAAAGCAAGGGCACTCTGTTAAACAGAGGGAGCTGTCAGAGCAGCGTAGCTGCACTCCTTTCTACAGAGACTGTAGAAAACTGTGTAAACATTTTCCTTTGCTTCTTGCAGCTGCTTTTTGGTTGAACTGCTAAAGGGAGTGAGGGAGGCTCACACAAGGGAGATAGCATTAATATAGTGAAAGCTTTGATTCCAGGCTCGTGATAGCATACAAATTAGTTACACTGGGCTGATAATAGGTTTGGTTGAAGACAGTGAGAAGTCTAGGGCACTTGCCTGGCATCATAGAATCATTAAGGCTGGAAAAGACCTCCAAGATCATCAGGTCCAACTTTGACCAAACACCCACTGAACCACCATGTGAAAACCCGAGTTTGCTGTCTGTGTTCTCTGGCAGTAAGGGCCCTGGAGCTCAGACCGTTGGCTGCATTCTTTTGATGCTGGTGGACCCAGTGCTGATGAATTCTGGAACATGTTTTGACAACAGGTATTGTCTATTAAGACTCCAAGTTCTCAAGAGCATAGATCACTGGAGCATGTGTCTGCATGTGCACAACACGTGAGAAAAAGTTTATACCAGACAAGTTTTTACAGTAACATAAAACCTAGAGCTCCTTCTGATAGGCACATACATAGACGTAACAGCTTATGACTCTAACACACAAAATAAATCTTGTTATCTGCTTGTACCATCATCATCCTGTTCCATACTGCAGAACTGAACCACTGAACCAATAGCCTTTGTTGTTGAAGCAGCTGAGTGGTCACAAACACACTTGTGATACTGAAGTGCTAACAGCCAGGTTCACCTGGGGTCCCTAATAACACTGTTTTGGTTTCAAGGAATTCTGGGTGCCTGTTCAAGTCCTGTTTGCTAAAGCAGTGTAGTCAAACATCACAGGCCAGGCAAAGCAGTGAAGAACAGTGTGGGGAAACTGCCCTGAGAAGCTACTGCACATCTGTGCAGACATGAAAAAATTTAAGTTCGGTAGGACTTCAACCTTAAAATAAGTTAATACATCTGGAGGCATGTGGATGCTCACATGCCAATAGAACCTGGAAGGACTCTGGTACCACCATGTGAATGTAGAATAAATGAAATGGAATCATTAGTTTTGAAACATGAAATAAGAGCATTTGAGACAGTTGGAATAAAATGGAAAGGCAATAATGGCCTGACCTGTTATATGAGTTAAAAGCAACCATGCTGAAAGGCAAACTGACACTTTCAGAGCTGTCCCTTTGTCCAAAGGAGGGTCAGAGAAGACAAGTAATACTTGTCAGTTTAGGAAGAGCTCTAAATTTTGAAGTAGAATTGCAGTAATCCTGTCTTTGTAATTACTGCACTTAAGATGAGGGTGTATGTGAAAAATGTTCTTAAGAACAGTTATTCTTTCAGTATTTTATTATAGTAGATTACTATGATTTCATGCCACTGAAACTATTTCAAGACTTTCTTTGCTTTTCTTCCAGAAAGTTAAAGGCATCAAATCACTTCCAAGGACAAGTTTGCTGAACATTACTCCCATTGTTTTCATGAAAGGCTCTTAAGGAGGAAAAAGCTTTTAATACCTACTAGAAACTGTGAGAACTGGTAGCTCCCAGGATAAAACCCTGACTCAAGGAAAGAAACTGGATGGTGGCACAGACTTTGGCCATGTGAGAGCTTAAAGAGACAGAATTTCATGGCTGGACAGAAGCAAACTATTCCTGCAAGCCAAAACTATAAAATATACATTGTGAAAAGCAACTTCTTGGTCTGATGCCTGTATCTTCATACCTCCATCTCTTATTTCCTGTCTTCTTTCTGTCCTTGACCTCAGCAGGACAACACTGCTCCAAAAGTGCATCACCATAAACCAAGGGCTCTGTTACCCTCAATGTGACACAGATAAAATTGAGAGCAATTTAAACCATTTCAGCAGTGCCTTGCAGAAACAAGCATTAAAAAGCAGTATCTCAGAATATACTGAGAAATTACTGCCCCACAGAAAGACAGGGAGCTTGTTTACAGCCTCAAACTCTGCTCAAACAATCAGGGAGATGCCTTCAACTGAGGAACATAAAAGTATTTTGCTGATTTTTCCATTACTCACTTTCCACACCTCCCAGCATCAACAGGTTGCTTTTTTTCCAGTCCCCTTCTGGAACCTCCTCTGAGCCAAGACCTGGATTCAGCTCTTGCACCAACTCTAACAAATGCAGAGACAGCTGAATTCCGTCTCTTTTGTAAGAAAGAAAAAAGCCACATCAACTGTGAATATTACAGGCCATGTGTATCCTGGCTCCCTAGAAACTTTCTCCTTGAACAGAACATTGTTTTTTCAGCTTGATAACAGAGCAGAACACTGAAAGATTGGCAGGGATGCCAAAGGTGGCATCCATAACTCAATAAATGCCATGTGTGAACTCTGCCTTTTCATTTACATTAGGCCCAAGGCCAGTTATCTAGCTCCCACTAAGGTAAAGGGTATGATTTGAAAAATGTTATGAAAATAAATGATCCCATATCACTAGCAGAAATGATCCACAGCTGTTTCCTACCAGTGGTGGTGTCATTTATTCCTGGTGGGCAATGGTAGATGCAGTTTGATTGCAACACAGCCAAGCTAAAGACAACATGCCACACCAACATGACGATGGACTTTTTAACTTTCACTTCCCCTTCAGAGTTCCACATTCACAATATTTTCTTCTATCACTGATATGGAAGAAATACATTTCAGTCATAAGATTAAATAACAGGTCTTGCCAAAAACATTATTATGAAACAGGATAGACGGCATTATCTTATCTGGCCTACTGATGTTTCTTTTAAAACATTTCATAATTTTCCTTCCTCCTCAGGCTTTCTTGGGAAAAATATTCATCGTATGGGCAAATGAGTAGGAGGAAGTTGATAAAAATTGAAAATTTCACATAAAGTTGCCCTTCCTCCCTCTGTTGGGGTATTTCTATGGTTTCAAGAGAAAATCTGTATTTTTGGATATTAGGAGAAAATTCTTCACTGTGTTGATTTTGCATTGGTTGACATTTAGTGAGGAGAGAGGCCACCCACAGAAATCATTTTTCTGAGGGAAGCTGCTAAGAGCTTTCTCTGTGCCTAGAAAAAACCAATAGCTGGCTAGCTCTGACAATCGACAACCTATCAAACCATTTAGAAGTGGGTCCGCCTCTGTGAATTCTCCATTTTAAGGGCAGGCAAGCCCGGGAAAGCTCTCTTGTTTCTGGCTGTGAGGAGGTGACGGTGCTGGCGGGGCCTGGCGGGGCCGGGCCCCAGCGGCTCCGGGCAGGGGATGGAGGCCGCGGGGCCCCGGCCGAGGCTGGGCCGGGTCACGGCTGCTGATATCTGACACCGAGCCCTGTCCCTGCCTTCAGCCCGCACCGAGCCGGGCTCTGCTGGGCCCCGGGAGCGGCTCTGGGCCGGGCCGGGCCCCTCTGCCGCGGCCCGCATGGCCACAGAGGCTGCCGGGCACAGGAGGCACACAGCGCGGCCCGAAATCCATCACAGTGACCGCCTCGGCCACTGCCTGGGACCATCTGCAGGACCGGACAAGATATGAAGCCTTTCACCACACAGATGGGACCTCGATCCTCTCTCCAGGGACAGAAAAGGACAGAATGATGACACGTAGAAAGACAACATGAAGACACCAAGGTCAGTAAAGGAGTCAAGTCCCAAATGGAAGGAGAAGGAGAAGATGCCCTGGTAATGGGGCTGAAAGTTGTTTTGGCAAGGCCATGGAGATGGACTATGATGTACTAAAATATCCCCTTTAATTCATGAGAAAGTATGGGGGGATGGAGTGTTCAAACTGTAGACTTCAGCAGAGGCATCCAAAATTAAGCAAAGCAGATGTTGAAGGAGCTGTGATCCCATGAGAAGCTTGAACAGAGAGAGATGAGAGTGATGAAGACCCTCTGCCCCCAGGGAGAGAAGAAGACCTGTGTTCCCAGAGATGAAGAAGATCATAGAGATGAGGAAAACCTTTGCCTTTGAACAGGTATTATGGGGTATTATTAAAATAATACCCCGTAAGTTACATGGCCAATTAACCCAGCTGTGAGAAGGCTGTGAAAATGGGAGGAGATTCACAATAGCAGATTTTTCCTAGGCAGCTGCTGTTCATAGAAATGAAAAGCCATGAGTGAACTGTTTCTTGTGGAGAAGTCTCCATGGCATGGTGAAAGAAAACTCCTCTCCCTGTAAGAACTGATGAAAGACTACTGTAGAAGTAGTAACTAATTTTAAATCCCAGGTTTTTTCTCTACGCTTTCAGTTGGGAAAGAAGTTGGGCAGGGGGAAGAGAAGTGTTCTGAAGGTTTTATTCTGTTTCTTATTATTCTTTTAGTTCTGTTAATAAGCTTCATACCTTTTAAGTTTTAAGCCTGTTTTGCCCTTCTCCTAATCCATATCTCACAGCAAGAAATAAGTAAGTGCAGTGGTGATTTTAGCCAGCGCTAAAACCACCACATTATTCGGTGCATTGGCCAGGAAACTCAAACTGGAGAATCTAAACCACTACAGTTGTCAAGCACTGGAACAGGCTGCCCAGGGAAGTGGTTGAGTCACCACCCCTGGAGATATTTAAAAGATGTGCAATGGTGATGTTTATGTACATGGCTTAGTACTGAACCTGTGCTGGGTTAACTTTTAGATTAGATGATCTTAGAGGTCATTTCCAACCTAAATGATTATATGATTCTAACCTGAATCAGTTCTGAGGCAAAGTCTTTTTAAAAGCAAAGGGTGTGTTTATTTACCATCTTACAGACTCTGTCCTATAAGAAAAACACAAGTCAGTGGATCTTGCTGTTGCTACCTACCAAGGAATATCAGGAGCACTCCCACCATAACTTGCAGGGTGAGCGACAGGCTGATGAGAACGATCAGTGGGATGTAGAAGGAGAAGGAGGGTCCTTGCTCCATGACAGCTTTGAGCTGGGAGGCGTTGGCCATCAGCAGGGCGATGTCCAGCATGCTCTCAGCTGCACTCTTCTTGTTGGCATAGTGGTTGATGTTGATGGGTCTGTTCCTTTGGAACCACTGCCACGTTCTGCGCTGGAGCCAGCAGAGGAAAATGGTTATTCACATCTCTTAATTGAGTGAGACATCACTTGGCCCATCCAATGATTCCTGTGATCATATGGGCAGAGCCACAGCAGCACTGAGATTTTCTGTGCCGCTTTCCCACTGTTACCCCGTCCTCCAGAAGGAGAGCAGAAAACAGTGCCTGCCTCTACTGCCCTTTGGCATGTTTTCCAGCTTGCCCTATAGGATCAGTTTAAACAGTCAGCATGCTTCTACCCTGGGAAAAGGAGAGACTGGAAAGGATGAAAAGTTTGCACTGAGAAAATGCTGGGAGGAAAAAAAACACTGTAACACAATCCAGCAAACAACAGGTTGTTGTGATTAATTTACTCCTGAAGGCACACTTAAAATTCAGATACTTACTAAATTCGCTTTCTCTCATACACACATACATACATACAGAAAGTTCCTTCATTACTCGTGAGTCTTATTTTCAGAACTGATGTGAAGTCACTGTGTGAGCTCTGCTTACTCTCCTTTCCTTGCTTCTCCTTCCTCCGACATAACACTGTCCAAGGTCATCCATATACCCATACACAGATGTTTTTACATTTAACTATCATGTGATCTTTTGTTGCCAAGAATCTTTTCTTTCCCATTTTCACATCAGCTGGTTTTGGTTTGGGGTTGTTTTTTGTTTGTTTGGGTTTTTTTAATTACTCTGCAAACAGGAAAATTAAAATCCATCTGCAGGGCAAACCTAGGGCTAGTTAATCCAATGGGATGAATATATGAGTGTTTCCTGATGATGATCCATGTGACCTAACTTAGAATTTGACTGCTTGTCTCCCAGAGGTGCCTATTTCTCCATGGATTAGATGCAACTTAGGGTAACAAGTTTAGACTTAGCTGCCCAACTCCATGACAAACAAAGTCGTGGTTGTATCCTCCTGTCTCTGAACAGCTTAGGAATTTCATTTCTGCTGCTCTCACTTCTAGATTTCAAAAGTAATAGACAAATATATGAAAAGTAAGCTTACTCTAGCTGATTTCTTTAAATCTACTTCTTAGCGACTTTTTTACTGCCCAAATGTGTTCCTGCTTGCCAGAAAATCCTGTGAAAGAAGTCTGGCTTTGCAGGTTAGTTCAAATGCAGAAGACACACTCTGATTACTCTCTTCAGCAGCATTAAACATGATCAACTTCCAAGCCACTTGCCACAGTCCAGACCTAAAAGCCTTTTAATTAGGGTAGATGTTCATGTATGTATTGCCAATTTTTCCAGGGCATTTAAACACCAAACTTGACCTATTTTCACCAGACATCTTGTCATCCATCACAAGCCTAAATATTTGACTAAGTGTAATTTGTCATAGGGCAGCAGCAAATATCAGAGCTTTTTCTCAGCCTGTGATCTTGCCTTCACCAGGAAAAATGACCTGTAATCATGAAAACCCCAAAAACATTCACTTGCTGCCTCCTGACTGATGCTGAAAAACCATAAAACAAAATAAAAACAAACAAAAAAGCAAATTAGCCTTGTTTTCTGGGAGCAAGCTGAAGACCACTGCCAGAGGTATTGAGGCTGATGCAGTCAGTACTACATGGGTACTTTTTAAGATCAGACCATGTGTTACACAGCAATATACAGACTGCAATGAAAGAAGAGATGTTGCCTTAACCTCAGGAGAGTGACAACCTGTACAACAGAAATTATAGCAGAACTTGGTTATGTGGCTTTGTGGCTTCAGGGAGATTCCAGGCATGCAGCAACATGTGCAGCCCACAGCAGCAAACAACACTCACTGTGCTGTGATCACCCACAGGGCACGCAGAGGGCCAGGGCAATGCTTGCAGATTTTCTAGAATGCAGGTAAAGGAAGGCTTTTCCTGCAGGTGTCACTTGGCAAAAGAACAGTATGCCTTGCATGTGACCTGCTTCAGTCTCAGTGCAACCAAAACACCTCCTTACACACATTCAACATTCAAATTCCTTGGTAAAGACAAGCTAAGCCCTTGGTTTGTGTCTCCAGAGGAGTCTGATCAAAGCCAGCAAGTGGGCTCACATGTGTATAAGAACCAGGTGCAGCTGGGACTGCATTCCCTGCAGTGTTCCCTGCATGCCTTCAGGCCCCCAGTGCTGCAAAGCTTCAGCCTCTCAGCAAAACAAGACCTGCCCTGCTGCTCTATGCACAGTTAGACAAAGGAGGGAAGTGAAAAGCCTCTCCCTCTTGCTCTGTCTGTGACTGGAAGAATCCCGTGGCAGAGCTGATTTTCACAGTGACAAGGTGCTGTCCCCACAGGCAGTACCCCTCTGGGTCTCCTCCCAGAAGCAGGGGCTGTTTGCTTGTCCAGAGTACTGAACTCTGCAAGGATAAAGCTACAATGCCATGTCATAAAGTGGCACATTTTTGGTTCTCCAAGACAAAACCTTCATGCTAAGATGGCATGGTACTTGTTCTCGGTCTCCCTGTGTTAGTACAGACGCAGCCCCTGCTTGCTTTGCTCCCCATTTCAGTGGTACACCCAGAAGAACTGAGTCCCTTTGAAATACAGAAGGGATTTATTGGTTACATTTATCAAAAAGCAGATACAAGTGTCTCTGCAGCAAATGTCCTTAGGTGCCGAGTTTCATGAATCACAGCTAAGCCTCACCTGGTGATTCAACAGGAAGGAAACAGCACTGAAAATGGAAATGCATGAAAACAATAAATTATCTTTGCTAAATACAAATAAATACTGTAAATTGTTATAGTAAGGATTACAGCAGTTTTCTTTCTATTTGAGGTTAGTTATTAATGCAATTTTATGGGCAAACAACCTTGATTCAAAATAAGAATGGACCAGAATGACCTCTGGGTCTGTGGTGCCATAGAGAAGCTTCCAGAACATCTCGTGCTTAGGAATAAGTCTGAATTATAAAACAATGGAAGCTTACCACATAATAACGAAGCTGTGCAGAACTAAAGCTGAGCCATACTGAACATAGTGAGGCTGCTCTTTACTGTGCTCTGCAATATTCTTCCCAATCAGAACTGTTAAAAAGATGCTAAAAAGCAATTTTGTTTAAGAAGTAATTTACTATGGTTTTGAAGTACTAATCTTTCAGATAAATATATGGCTAATTTTTCCAGATCTTTGAGAGGAAATTTCATGTTTCGAAAAAATTCCAGTTAAATCAAAAAGAGATGGATCAGACATAAAAGAATAATACTGGACAAAAATAGAACACCATTTCAGAACTTTTTTTTCTAGGATCAAATCTACAGTTACAGGATTGAACTTTACACTAATATTTAATAATTCTCATAGTTGTAGAATTTCTGTCCACATCTCCATCACCTACACACTGAAATTGCAAAGGGCCGTATATGGCCACTCTGAAGTCAGACTTCCCCTCCATCTCAGAAATCTTGCTGATCTAAAAACAAACAGGTAAAATATTCTACAAAGAAAAATATATTCTTCCAACAAAAATATTTGAAGCTGTATCAGTCATGTAATGGATGATTACAGAATCAGATGACATGATTACAGAATAGGCTGAGTTGGAAGGGACCCACAGGGATCATCCAGTCCAGCCTCTGCCCAGACCTCCCGACAGCCCCACCGTGGGCATCCCTGGAGCGCTGTCCAAGCTCTCCTGGAGCTCTGGCAGCCTCAGGCTGTGCCCATTCCCTGGGGAGCCTGGGCAGTGCCAGCACCTTCTGGGGCAGAGCCTTTCCCTGAGATCCACCCCAACCCTCCCTGACACAACTTCAGGCCCTGTCACTGCTCACCACAAAAAGACATTAGTGCCCCTCCTCTGCCCCTCATGAGGAAGTTGTTGAGCCCAGAGTCTCCCCTCAACCTCCTCTTCTCCAGCTGAACAGACCAAGGCTTCCCCTCCAGGCCCTTCACCATCCTCATGGCCTCCTTATTTCTAATTAATCCTTTGTTCCTCCTCCTCAGAAGATATTCTGTGGTTTTTCCTTCAAAAAAACATTAGATCACTTGCTGAGCTTAGCACTGACTCAAGAGAGAAAAACCCCTACCCCTGGCTCTGGAATGAATCATCAGTTTCATTTCCCATGGAAATTCCATTTTGAAGAGAAGGGGAGATGTTCACCCAAGTACCAACCCAGTGTAGCAATAACTAGTTCATGAGAACTCTGCAATTATATCTTGACATGCTGTGGCTCAGGCAAATACAAAAAAAAAAAATAAAAGAAAAAAAGGGAAAAACTCAGCATGCTTTTGTACTTCACAGACATCATGATTTTCTAGCAGCTTCAAAACCTTAAGAAGAATCTTAAGCTTCTGCTTAAGAAGAATCACTTTTTTTACAAACAGAAAATGCAAGTATGACTACATTAAGAAAAAAACTGGTAATCATGTTGAACTCCTGAGAGCTAAAGAAGTTAATATTAAAAAAGGGAAAAGTACAGCCTGCTGAGGGCCAAGCACTGTTTTCCTAAAGCTGTACTGGTTCCAGGATCCAGTTAGAATATTTCTACTCATGAAATGACCAAATAATTTAAATAACTAGCACACCTCATGGCTAACTTTGTGAAATGAAGGAGTAACTTAAACTTGTTCACATAGATATTAAAGTTTGCTCCTGTATAATTTTTTCTGCCTTGCATTATTACTACTCTTTCCAGTCATTTGATCTTACAATACTATTTCTCACAACTGGGCTGTGGACTGCCTATTTGCGTGGTTGACACACAGTTTGTTTACTCTAGCTACTTAAAAAACATGCAAGCAAAAACTTATCACCAATAGTATCAATATTTGAAGTATACTGAATACTCCAAATTCAGTTTGATATGAGTAATAAAAACATACCATTTCAGGCTATATGCAGCAAATTTCAAGTTCATACAGGCTGGTTACTTCCAGTATGATGCCAAGAAACTGCCATGTTTAAAATTACTTTTATGCTCCAAATTACTTCTGAATATACAGACTTCAACACATTTTTAGGAATAACATGATTAAAGCTGTTTATTTCTACTATCCAATTCTTGTTCAGCTTTTCCATAGACCTTCTTGAATTCCTTCATCCAGCACATCCTGTTATCTTGGAAACACTAAACTAGATTTTAGAACACAGCGGATGGAAAGTGTTTCAGTATGGACCATGGACAAGGAAAGCAGCTAGATGGATGGAAAACCAGTTACAATCCGTATTTGTGTGAACAGATCCTTTGAAGAAGAGGTGAGGTACTTTCTCCGGGTGTAATTATGCACATTAGTCAGTGAGGTGTGCCACGCCAGCCCAAGCCTAGAAGCAAGGAATCTTTTGCTTCTAAAAACCTGACAGCTGCCAAAAAATGTATTTAAATTAATGTTGGAGTAAAAATAAACCACATCAAACCACTGTGTGACCACTTGTTCAGAACTACCAAAAGCTTAACTGGTCTTTTTAAAATTTGCATGCTTTGATTGCTTTGAAGGTAACAACTATACCAGCATTTCATGTCAGCTCTTCTGTATGAGAAGGCAGTTTTGAGGAGAGCACAGATGCTGGGAGAGGCAGGAAGGAAACCAGGGTGGCCCATGTTCTGATGCCTGTGAGCATTCCTCAAAGCAGACACACTTTTGACTCCAACACAGAAGATTCAGGCAGCTGCAGATGGTCTCCCCAGGTTTAGGTGGCTGCTGAGCTGGGGTGCTGTTTGTGTGATTTGTGAACATTGGCAGATTTTTTAAGGTATCTTCTGTTCAGAGATGGGCTTTTGAAAAATCTGTCCCCATATGTTTTACCTTGCATATACTTTGTGTTTGTGTGAGAAAATTTAAACAGTGTTTATGAAGTTCACTGAAGTGTCACTGTGTACATTTAAAACACATCACACTGTGTACATTTAAAACAATGGAATAACATGTCTCACTGCTTAATCTTTATATGGCACTCACTGGGAACTTGAGTTTTGATGGGAAAGATGTAACAAATGGAGAGTTGCTTGCAAGTGAAGATGAAGTGAAACTAAAGTTGCTGAAAAATTCTTGGAGCAGACCACATGGGGAAAAAACCCTCTATCAAGAGTACTTGTGATGCAATCACACAGATATGTTGAAAATGAGAGAACTGCTGAGAAGTCAGAGGTTTAGAGGAAACCACTCTAGACCACCAGTTTGACCTGCATACCCCAGCCTCGATTCACTTCAGGCAGGATTTCCAGGATTTATTAAAAATAGGTTTTTATTTTTATCAGTTTGATATTCATGACTCCAAGGGTTTGTCAGGGAGGGAGGGATGGAGAAAGGACAGATGTGCTACACAATCAGTCCAGTCTGTCTGTAACCAGAATGTTTTACCAGTGACACAGAAGAGGGTTTAGTACAGCGGTTTCTCTGTGGCAAAGACTTGTGCTGGAGTAAGAGCTGCCTTTAGAGTTTAGTCTTTTCCGAAACAAGATAAAGGACACTCTTCTACCATTCTGCTTTTTTCAGATAAGTGGCACGCTCTACAGACATCCTTTATACTTAAACAGAATACCAGATGAACACTTCCCAGTGAGGATGCCCAGTCATACTTTGACTACACGGAGTAGGAAAAAGCTGGGTATTCTTGGTTTTATTTAGATTACTGCATGGAAAATAACCATTCAAGCACTACCACTTCAGTAATTCCCCCTAGCTTTGTAATTGCTTGTTCTGGGTGGATGCAGAGCCCCGCAGGTGGAGAGGAGGGCCGTGCTGGCAGGTGCAGGAGCCGGGAGCTGCCGGGGATGCTCTGCCCGGCCACACGGACCCGCCAGCGGCCTCCCCGCCCAGAACGGCGCGGAACGCGTGCAAGGCAGGTAAAAAGCCAGCAATAACCGAGCAGCACCGACCAGCGGCCCACCCCGCGGAGTGCCCGTCCCGCCCGGCCCCGGGATGGACGCGACGGGCCGGACACAGCCCCGGCAGGGACGCGGCTGCCGGGTCCCCCCGCCCCGCCGGGCCCGGCCCTGCCCCGGCCCTCACCCGCTCCTCCGCCGACTCCGCGCCCTCCGCCGTCCCGTTCAGCTCGTGGGTCTCGCTGCCGGAGTCCATGGCGGCTGCCCGGGTCCCCGCTGTCCCGGCCAGGGCCGGGGGGAGGTTTCCCCGCTGAGCAGCGGTTCCAGGAGCCAGCCCGACCTCCCCTCACCGCGCCCCGGGGCCGCTCCACCGCCGGGGCAGCCTTCCCCCGCTCCTCCCCGCCTCCTTCCCCGCCCTTTCCCTCCTCCTTCTCCTCCTCCTTCTCCTCCTCTTTCCCCTCCTCTCCCCGTCTCCCGCTCCCGCCGTGGGCCGAGCTTTGGCGCAGGCCGGGGCCCGGCGGAGCGGAGCCCGCAGCGGCCCCGGGCCCGAGCCCGGCCGGCCCGCACTGAGCCCCTGTTGCCAGTGTTGGCCAGAATCACATTGTGTGTTATTCCCTATGTAGGGAATAATCACATTGTGTGTTACTCCCTATGTAGGGAATGATCACATTGTGTGTTATTCCCTATGTAGGGAATGATCACATTGTGTGTTACTCCCTATGTAGGAAACTGGTGATGGATGCAAATGGCTCATTTCAGAAATCTGTCTTGATAAAGCGGAAGACTGGAGTTCAGTTGTTCAAAGAGTTCTCTGATCAGTGTTTTTAGGATTTCAGTATCATTATTCTTTTTTTTTTTTTTCCTTCTCATTGTCCTATACATTTATTCCTCCCTATGTTTATTTTCCCACCTGTACTGTGACAACCAGCACGTAGAAAACCAATCAACATGCAGGTTTGGTGGTGATGGGACATCAGAGGAACACTCAGATGCATAGAAACAACTGCCAGCAAGTGCAGAAATGTAAAAAATATATGTAAGTAATTGGGTTTTGTATGACCACATGTAATCTCTTAAAGCCTGAACTGCTCACCTGCACCAAAAATGTTCCTGAGTGGATGCTAGTGCAGTGGGCTAGAAAGCGCCAATTTGGATAGAGCAATAAAGTTTGTTGTTATAGTCCATTGAAAATGGAAGGAACAGTGTATTATGACAGCAAAGATGTGTATAAACGACATTTATTCTTTACAAGTCCAAGGCTTCAAAAGGTACATTGCTTTCCTTAATTTTTGGGTTTGTGGTAGCTAAACTCCAGTAATACGCTCAGCTAGGCCAGCCTTTACCAGATATATTACCTGTTCATTTAACAGTCATTAAATATGCATGAACCATAATTGCTGCATTTGGATCCCAGGACAACCTGGTCAGAACCCCCTCTGGTTGCAAGCATCCAGTGACATTTTCAGAGATACTACTATATTTTTAATGACCCCTTTTTTATCTTCTGTACCTCCTTGCAAATGCATTTTGAGAACTTTGGCAGTTGTAAAGGTTTGATGTGCTCTAGTGAAATTATTCTGCCCTTAGTCCTAGAAATGAGATGTCTGCTCTTTGGACATGACAGTGACAGTGCTGAGTGATTCCTCCTGTGTGCAACTCCCTTTGTGCTGCACAATCATGTGCCAAGGAGGCCTGGGAGTGAGACCTGTTCTTAATGCTGTGAGTAATGGGTGTCATTGCAGTGGAACTGGGAAACAGCTGAATTTGTGTCTGTGAGGCATACGGTCTGAAACAGTATTTCTCTGTTGAAATTTGCATTTGTCAGTCCAGTACAATTTTTTTTAACAATAAAATTTCCTGTAATCCAGTCTTTGAGTTAGTTCTGTGGGTTGAATCTGAAAAAACATATTTTTTGCTGCTTATGGAGAAGACCCTGTGCTCCCTCTGTGGAAATGGCCTCAGACTCCAGCTGTGGTCAGAGAGAGGCAGACTGGTGATGTGATCAGCCATGGAAGGAAACAACAAGACAACACTCTGTGGTGGGTGGGTCTTGTATGTGTTATAAATGAAATTAAAATTTTACAACTAGGTCTATTGAGTTAAAAGCAATTTAATAAAAAAAAAAATTTACATAAAAATTTAATACAATTTAGTGAATTGAATACAAGAATACAATTTAGTGGCTTGAATAGCAATTTGGTATAAAAGGAATACAATTTAGTAAAAGAGTACAATTTCATGATATATATTTCAGATATATATCTATAAATATATATAGATATGTGAATATAGTTTGCCAGTAATTGAGTATAATTAAAGCATAAGCAAAACCGACCGGGGTATGGAGAGGGCTTCTCATCCTACCTCACATACAAAACAAAGCAATTCAATCTAAACTTACATACTGTATGCTTACTAATATTCATTAATAATTCCTGTAAGTTTCCTCCTACTTCCAGTTCTTAAATGTTACATCACTATTCTTCATGGCACATGCCTCACTTGTTGCTAGGGGGTCTCCAGTCTTCTTTTGGTGGTCTTTGGATGAAGGCTTACACTCATTCTCATTTTCCAGGATAACCTTACAGGTTGTGGTGTGCGTACTAAGCGTTGTGTTATGTAAATAAGCATTATATTCCATTAATTAGTCTTACATTTTATCATTTCAGGCCCTATGCTTAAAGTCGCTCCAGCTTTGTCCATCTCAAGGTTGATTTTGTCTTGGCACATCACTTACCTTAAACTACATCCTGTATCCTGTTTTTAACATGTAACATCTGTAAAGGGGTCCATCTGCCTTGTAACACTGATTCCTTCTATTGCTTTATAATAGCAACTTTTTAAATAGTTAGAATTTAGTTAGCACAAATCATCTCTATTACATTTGTGTGTCAATTACAAAAAGAGAGCTTGAAAGTGTTGTCACAGGAGTCTGAGTCAGGGGTTCTGGTAGGTGTTTGTCAGGCCAGATACTGCAGGGGGCACAGACAATCCTTGGGACCACTGTCAGAACAGCCACTGAAATCTGGTTTGGAATACTGAAAACAAAAAATACCTCCACTGCTCTGCATTTTTGCATCTTAGCTATGAAAGGAATTTCCAGTCTCTATTACACTCTTAAGCTGTTAGCAATTATTAACCATTTTGTGGGTTTTTTCCCTCCAAATCACTGTGATGGTGATGTGACAGGCACAGAATGATCCTAAATGAGGAAACAATTAGAAAGGACAGCACTGCTGTGAAACGCTCCAGAATAACTCCAACTGCAGGGCTGCTTGGCAATCAATGGTTATGTCAGAGTCCTGCAAGTGACCTGAATGTTTTTATTTACTATGAGCTTTCATGAGGAGCCAGTGATCAAGGCAAGGGATAGTGCCCTTCCCTTCTAATCAGTGGGACCTGGAAAAACATTTTGGAACATTTTCCAGACATTCTGGAAAGATATCAGTGGAAGGTTCCCTGTCCATGGCAGGAGGGTGGTGACAAAATGATCTTTGTGGTTCCTTACAACCCAAAATATTCCATGATTCTGTGATTTTGGTTTTGCCTGCTCAGAAGCAACTGGTATGGGCTTAATGCATGAAGCACATATGGAAATTTTCAGCCTGTGTTATTGGGAAGATCAGTTTCAGCAATTATGTTTGTCCATTTTGGATTTAAAATCTTGAAGCCAGTGATTAAATATGTTTTTTGCTTAAGATGTGCTGCCTTGCTTGGCATGCACACGTTTGGAACAGAATTTTTGAGAAAGAGAAGGTTTCCAGCAGGGCTGGCACAAGTGCCAGAAGTTTCCAGCACTTGTGCCAGAAGGAAATGAGTAAGCTCCTACCTAGAAATAAGCATCTATGCAAGTGTTTTAGCATTAAAACTGGGACATCTGGAGTTTGTGAAAATGCTCTGACCCAGGATATACAATTTACCAGAACTCTTTTGGATTAGTTTTTGATGCATTTGGAAGTGTAAGGCAGTGAATTTTCCCTGTAAAGAGCAGGAGCTGCTGTGTGCAGTCACACACTGCTGCGCTGTGTTCACAGCACATCAGCTGTACACTCAGATCAGCTCTCAGCTGCTCTGTTCTGCCTTGCACAAACAGCTGTTCCATAGTCTGCACTTCTGGGTGCTGTTTGGAGCAGCTGGCGTGCCTGCAGGGCAGGTGTCAGCAAGGCTGGGGCTGGCAGGGCTGATTTTAGGGAGAGGAGGACCCAAAGGCCCTGGGCTCCTCTGGAAGGGAGGTGGCTGGGAGTGCTCACAGGTGTCTCATCTGAAAGCGAAGTACAAATCCTCAGCATGGCCACAAGTCATCTTCTCACAAGAGAATTGTGCCTGGGCCTGGCCTGGCAGTGTGATGTCTGGCTCCAAACCTCGTGTTCAGAGACAGCTGTGTGATCCCCCAGCCTGGCCCTTTACACAAATTATTGGCATTCCTCCCTGGAGAGTCTGATGATCTGTTTTGTACATATTTTTCAGGTGATGATGACAGTCTGCCTAATTCACTAATTCTGGAGCACACTTCCTTAGGAGATCTGGCACTCCTGGCTTAAGCTTTGTATTTGTGTTTGTATTTGTATTTGTAATGCCTGCTTTGGGGTGTGCTTACACTGCTACACATTTCCTGCTTCCACACAATGCTATCTGAGAAAATTGCTACAGCCTTGTACTTAAAATAGGAAAGAAATGTCAGGAGTTTGGATAGAAGAGACTCAATAGAAGGAAATAAAGCTCCTATTTTTATCCTCTGTCTTAAAGACTTCATAATGTTTATACTTTCTGGCTGAAATTGCATAGCTTAGTCTATTTCTGTATATTAATTTCTTCTTTCAGAAGTCCTAGTAGAATCTCTGTGCCTTTTTTCAACCACAGCATATATATGTGTGTATATTTACACACTTGTGCAATTAGAGGATGGGGTTTTTCTGCAAAATTTGTTATGGAAGTTGTAGAGCTGAAATGAAATGGCATATAAAATTGTAAATTTGTCATGTTGAGACTGGTCTAAAAGTTCTGCTGGGCTTGAGCATTGTCTTTTATAAAACTGTGATGTGTGTTAATGATTTCTTTTAGCTGGTAATGTGTCTTGCTCATAAAATCACATTTATGTGTGCCTGAAGCTGTGTAACTTAGATGTTACAAAATAAACAAACAAGATGGTGTTTAGGAGGTGGTAATGCTTTTTAGAAGATGTACTGGTAGTTCACTTCAGAGGTGCTGAATCTTCATCTAGGTAATGAATGAGATCAGGAATCAGTTGCATTTACATTCCCAGACTGTGCTGCCACTGTTTCATTCTATCCAAATATCTTACTATCATTAATTCTTTTTTTAATGATTTTATTATATCAATTAGATGGAGAATGATTTAAATATATCTATGTGCAATCTCT